CGAGCAGGCGACCGGGATCGGAACGGGCCCACGGAGGACGTTTAGCGGGGTTGTGCAGCGGAGCTGAACGGGGCCTGTGGCTGAGATACAGAATCAGCCTGCCGTACCCACATTCTGGTTTGAGATGAACCAGAAATAACACGATGCTGATTTCTTATCTGAAATCTCGTTTTATTGAATGAAGCATTTTCTATTGTTGCAAAAAGTTGCATCAAAGGGTAATTAAAGTAGGCACAAAATCGGAAATCATAAAGCGACAAATTTAATCTCTCGGGAAGAATAATGTAAGTTCGTGAATCGTGAATCAAACTCGGGCAGCGATTGAGATGCAGAGTTCTGAATAAGCTGCTTCATCTTACAATGGTTAGAAAAATAAGAAACGAGGTGAGGGAGGCGATGGTTCGCGGTGTTGAAGAGACGTAAGAAAGATCGGTGAGTTTTTTTGTCCAAAGCACGTTAACTACCACCGTGAACCACCACCCCCACCCCCACCTCCGCGTCCCATACCGTAAGAGTTCGCACCCGAACCTCCTCCGCCGTATCTACCACCACCTCCTCCTCCCTGGTATCACACCAGTTGTACATCAGCCAATGGACCATCCCCACTGTTAGAAAACGGCATCAAAACTTACACCACGGCCACCGCCATAGCCACCACCTCCTCGGCGTCCACCACCACCACCACCTCCGATGGATGCCATTTCTACCAATGCTGACGGGACTATTTGCTTGGCGTCTCTAAGAATCTTGACCAATTCTTTGGCCAGCTCTGGAAGTAGAAAAGTAGATCATATGTCAGAAACGACCGCAAGATACACAAAGAGGAAAAGCAATCGTGCAACTCACTGCTCTGATCAGCACTGATATAGCTGTAGGCAGTACCTGTACGCCCAGCACGCCCGGTTCGACCGATACTAATAATGGAAAACAACGGAGTTAGAGCTGTAAGGACTTGCAAGACGTGAAAAAAAAGCAAAGCGTACCGATGAATGTAGTCTTCAATGCCGTTGGGCATGTCATAATTGATGACATAAGCGATGTCTTTGACGTCTGGGATTCATCCAAGAATTAGGACGTTTTAGAGGCAAGATGAAATGTGAGTAAAAACAACAAGATGCCGCCGAATGCGGTAGGCTTGGGGAAGGAGTGACGGAAGAGCTCGGCTGCTACCCATAGATTCTTGATTGATCATCAAATCTTCTATGCCGTTGGTGCGAGTCGGTTCTATCTGCATGCGACGGTATGTCTCTCCTGCCAGCTCCTCAAATTCTTCACGCCATCTTCCATGACCACATTGACGCTTGGTTAGTCGCAAAGTGAATGTCTTATCGCTCACCACCCAGTGGATCAAAGAACAAATCAAGCAACAGCCCCTAACTGTCAGAGAAAAGGTCCTAGTGATGATAGCGCAAACAAATCCGGGGAAAGCTACCACGAGACAAACTGTGACACTAGGCTGATAGAACGCTACCTGCATGCTTCGAGGCATATTGAGAAACAGGATATATCGTTTCATGCCAATCGCAGCATACAACCTGTACTGCCGTTGCACACACTGATGCAACGGAACTGACATAGGTAGTTCAGGCAGGGGCTTGGACGATCAAACTCGGGCAAGTTTTCGTACAGCCCAACTCTTGCGAGCGCGGTAGTCCAAATGGATATGCGGCACCGCTGGAAAATGCTATGATGCACAATCCACTGCCCCACGGATCTTCCACAATGGGGAGGGGGAGAAACAATCATACATACCTAGACCACGCGAAGCGACATCGGTGGCGATCATGATAGGACTTCGGCCGCTCTTGAACTCCTCGAGTACCCAATCACGTTCTTGCTGTTGCTTGTCACCATGAATCGCAAGTGACGGCCATCCATCTTGACGCAGATATTTCGTCAGATCGTCGGCAACTCGCTTTGTTCCGACAAAGATGAGTACTTTGGCGGATTCCGACGAGATTTTCTCGAGATGCTTGATCAGCTTGCCTCTCTTCTCGAAATCACTACACACCTCTACGATTTGAGTGATGTTGATGTTGGCAGTAAGATCTAGACTTCCAACGTTGACTTGAATGAAATCCTTCAGGTATTCACTAGCCAATCGTTGGACCTCCTTGGGCCAAGTAGCTGAAAACATCAAGGTCTGTCGATCGGGTCGAATTTGTTCAACGATCTTCTTGATCTGAGGCTCGAAACCCATGTCGAGCATTCGGTCCGCCTCGTCCATGACAAGGTAAGTGACTCGATGCAAGTTTGTTTTGCGACTCTCGAGCATATCGATCAGACGACCAGGAGTAGCGATGACAATCTCGGCTCCGCGAGTGAGGTCACGGATCTGTTGACCTTTGGGAACGCCTCCGTAAACACACGTGTTGCGAATGCGGGACGAGGCACCGAACTTGGTACATTCGCCTTGAATTTGCACGGCGAGCTCACGAGTCGGGGCAAGAATCAAAACGATGGGCCCGTCTCCCGGTGCTAGAAGAGGTTGGCTAGATGCAAAAGCAAGGTCAGTGTAAGTTGACAGCCCAATGAGTAGACGGGCTTGATCTCACGCATTGATGTGAATCATGGCTGGAATAGAGAACGCGATCGTTTTGCCCGATCCAGTGGCACTGACGGCCACTACATCGCGACCACTGAGGGCCATAGGCCAAGCTTGGCATTGAATAGGGCTTGGAGCGTTGAACCCGGCGTTGCGAATCTCACTCATAATGTAGTCTGGGAATCCAGCCTCGCTGAAATTCGAGATGGGCTTGGGGATGTTTTTGCCAAACACCTGAATCTCTTTCTCGGCGCGAAATTGATTGATGTCACGCTCGGAACGAGAAGTTATTCGAGGGTCTTCAACGTAAAAGTTTTTCTCGAACTTGGTCAAGGTTGAGTTGTCCCATTTAGGACGTCCCAAGCCACTGCCGAGGCCTGACATTCGGTCGCCTCCACCCTAAATGATCGAAGTACGCATACACTTAGCTTCTCTCTGTGGACAAGGGGAGCAGAGAAAGATGAACCTACACCACCACCACCACCGCCGTAGCCTCCGCCGCCGTAGCCGCCTCCACCACCACCGCCTCCACCACCACCATAACCGCCAGAATATCCACCCCCTGCGACGAGAAAAGAGAATTTGACAATCAGTATTCGCTCAGGTTGGAGACCAGGGTGAGTGGATACATACCATAGCCGCTTGAGCTACCTCCTCCTCCGTAATGACCACCGTAGGACATGATGAAGCAAAGTTAAGAGTAGAAGGAGTGTGTCGGCTTGTATATATTTCGAGGTGAGGTAACAAGAATTGATCTGAGGGAGAAGTATCGTATGAATCGAAGTAGGTACGAGAAAGCTGTTTGTTGAGATGGGCTGTTTATGGGAGGATGACCAGGGGTGAGTGCGAGCCTTGATGGTTGGGCTCGAAATTGTTGGCGTGTGCGGCGGAGGACTCGCGCGGACACAGCTGCAAAAGTACGTCGGCAAGACTGGTTGCACCCAATCGCGCGCGGAAACTTCTCCTCCAACCACGAAGGCCGCCCAAAAGGGGCCACTCAGATTAATGTTGGCCAAGCACAAGTAGGAGCGTGCTGACACCAGCTTACCAAGTTTAACCGCACAGAAATATGTATTTATGCAGAAACTGAACACCTCTGCAGCAAGATCTTTCTGACCTTTTGTTCTCCCTTGTCAGATTCTGCCTCTGAAACCAATTGTTGACTTGAATTTATTATTTTCTTCAAGATTTTGAGCTGGTCTAGATTAATTTACCAAAGATGAAGACTAGGTACTCACCCAGCATCAAGCTTGCCTGTAGCTCCCACTTAACTTGAATCCAACCACACTTAACTTCAAATAAACAATTGCACATTTTTTGCTCTTTTGGAGTATTTTTTTCCTATCATTTGTGGGACAACCTGATAAATCATCAGATTGTGTGCATTGGAGATTGTGGATTCCTATAGTATTTCTTATAATGTGAAAAGGCTAAGAATGAGTACTCTTGGACCTTCTTTGAAAAGTGGAGAGCTTGACAAATCAAGACAAAGAGAGTCCAACAAATTACAATGTTAAAAGTTGCCCAAGATCTCTGTTATGGTCCAGGAAAAAACTCTCAGCTTGAAAAACCTGTTTCAAACAACCAATGATTTTACCAATGCTCACTTCAAAACTGAAAGTAAATTCCAAGTATGTATACACAAATTCACTAGCTTCCTGCCAGAAACTGAAGTATTTTTGCTCAACAGGGCTCTATCTTACTCTGATCAATGTTTTTCTATATTCTTCCATCATTGCCTAATTCAAAAAAACTAACAAAACATAAAATCAAAATTCTGCCTCAAATTGTTAATTGATGACCATGCATTAAACTATTCATTCAGAAGGAATTGAACATTGCACTTACAGATAAACCTTGTGAGCTTGAGTGTAGCTTGACTTGTTGTCATTTTCAAATCTCACATTAGAGCATGCCACATAGATTGGTAGATTTTTAGAGTATATTGAAACTAAATAATCTGCATCTTTGAATCATCTGCTTAGATTTAGTACTCAGAGTGTTTGACACTCATAAGCCGCTAATCAGAATGATATCCATTATTTATCCATTTCAGTTATTTTTCATCCGCCTTGTAATACAAAAAGGGGACATTTTAGTTAGTTAGTAGTAGAACTGAAACTAAAGTGTAGCTGTGATAAATGTTACTAATGGATATCCCACAATCATGCTGTTAATAGACATGCAATGGTTGGAAGGGCCTGTCCAACAGCTCCTCAGAAAAAAATTGGCAAACCAGCTCTGTAGCCCAGTATTATAAGAGTATAGAACTGGTGGGCAGCCAGGTAAAAATCCCTCTTTTCGGTGTTGATTGAATTCAGAAGATACAATCAAAACCAAAACCTCATGTGTTGTTATGTCTGCATTCTTTTTATTTAGGTAACCAAAGAAATGTCCACAGCCAAACAAACACAAATTCCAAGCTCTAAAGAAATAAAATCATGTCCACTGTCCTTTTCAATACTAAAACCCTAGAGCTTTAAACATGATCCCAAGTGTGCTCAAGTGCAAATTGAGCTTTTTTTGAAAAACAAAGTAAACCGTCACAAATGAAACGAAATAGAATCGACAATGCTTCTGAATAAATTCAACGATGATGGAATATCATTCCAAAGGCGTTTGAGAACTGAGTGGAATCAAAAGAAATCAAACTTGAATCTTCCGAGTCATCATTGCTCTTCTCCTCAGAATGTCGACTGCTGTGACGTTGAAAAAAGTAATTCAAACCAATTAAAGAGTTGAAGAACCCGGTTCAATTAAAAAATTTGGAAAATTCAAAAAGCTTTCTCATTAATTACAAGCTACAACTTACCGAGTGGATTTCGAATTTTTGTTCGCCAAGTCATGGGAAGAGTGTGGTGTATCCTTTCCTTTGGAATCTTTGTCTTCGGGCTTGTTTTCCCTGTCTTTTCGGCTTCTTGATTTACTTCTATGTTCATTCACTTTCCGACTCTTGGAGTGGTTATCCGCCTTACGACTTGACGATCTTGAAGTTTGGGAACGTGATCTAGAAGATTCTTGCTTGGATGTGGATCCGGACGGGGGTATGGATAACTTGGTATCTTGTTTTAATGTTTCTTCTGTTTCTCTGTGGTCCAATATCTGATGACAGTGACAACAGATTGCTTTGGTATCGAAATCATGTGTTCGTGGACTGCTTTTCTCACTCTTGATGCTGGATGCAGATACCGAGTTGGAAGCAGACGCCAGAGCTCCTGGCTCAAGACGAGTCGTAGGAAGGTCTTTATCTCCTGTTGCAGGCCAACTGGGCTTGTCTGGATGTTTCGGGTCAAGAGGCAATCCACAATACTCCCTCAGGGCAACCATCAGATGGAATGTAAGTCTGTTCTCGATCTTTTTGAGGGTTTGACTCCTTTCTTGGGGAGAGCTCTTCTCGTTTAGTTGCTGGAGGTAGTGCTTAAGCTCAGTCCAAGTGCGCAAAATCAGATACAGATCGCCTGGATAAAAGAAGGAGGTAAAGAAGTTTTTTCAGAGATGGTGAATCGTTCAACTGATGATCTGGTCAAACTCATGGAAAAGAACACTCACTGTAAATTCTCTGAATCTATAATTGTAGGTGTCGGGATTCAAAAAAAGAAATTCATGTTAGCTTGCGCTATTTCAAGTTGATCAATCAATTAAAATCAAACCCACATGATCACGGACGAGTTTCTGACGATGGGAGCAAAAGAAGTCCAACAATCCTGATCGATGGCCACCATGAGGAGGACGCAAGCTTGCCATATAAAGCTTTTGTGTCGGCTCCAGTCCACGTTCCGCCCAATTCCAAATGGCCTCTGACAACTCTTGATAGGTTAGCTTGTGGACTTCCCAATAAATTACGCTGCCATCATATGTTCGCCAAATTTGAGATCCTTCATCTAGACGATAAAGCTCTTGTCCATGATCATCTTTTGATTTAGATTTCTGAGAATGCTGAGCGGTAGAGTTGGTGTGCTCGGGGAGCTCCAGATTATCGTCGGGATGGGTATTTGGCACATGCTCTCCATGAGAATGTCGACGGTGTCGATGTGAGTTTTTATCCACCTGGTGCTTGCTTGGCTTGGAGTTCGAATGATCTGACCCCGGGTGATTTGAGGTAGATTTGGATGAGGACTTGCTTGAAGGCATCGCGACCTGTAAATCAAGCTGTTCGGTGCCCAATAAAATGATAATCACCCACTAGGTGCTTGAAAGTGAGGGAAAATGTGAGCTTTCTTTGATAGTTCTTTTAAAAGAAGGCGGCCTTGCAAAGGAGCTCTGTGCAACACTGAGCTAGCTGTTAGCTCGAGATCTTTGAAACCTACCCCAGTTTTACGAGGGACTAGGAATATCTTGAATGGCGATGCTATGAAGGCGGTGGCAATTGGTTTTTGTTTCATCTCAACATCAGGTAACAGCATCATGCCGACTCGTCAGACTGGCACAGATGACCAAGTCGACTTCGCTAATACTTCCAGCCTGTTCATGAGTCACGTCAGAGCGAACGTCGCAGTGCTCGCCAGCACCATCCCCAACTCTCATAAGGTACGCACAGGCTAAAGTAGACGACGTCAATGAAGTATGTACTCGATTTCTCCCCCCATATATCGCGGCCGTTTGAAAAACGCGCACAATCTTCAAGCTTGGCAACTGGGACTGGGGCATGGCTCTTGAAATTAAATGGAATGAAAAGCTGCAGACAGGCTTTTTTTGGAGGTAATAAGGGCCAGTACCATGGGATTCAATTTTGAAAAATGTGGATTCTTTATGCCTTCTACACAGAATTGGCCAAGAATTGCAGGAATCTAGCATCAAAATCCTTCTATATGGTACTGACCCTAAGCAAAAACACTGGCTTACCCTATGGCCACTTTTGCTGCTGTCAAGCCCGTCTAACCGCATACTTGTATAAGGATGTTATAAACCTCCATACCACATACTCATTTGGGTCTACCAAATGTTTGTCTTTGCCTGTAGCTCGTCCTGGTAACCCCCTAGCCTGCCAAAGCACATGGCTACAGTGCCCTAACCCTCTTTTGTGTAACACCGCACCTGCAAAATTATTTTTGAACTTTGAGCTGTATGTTGGTTGGCTCAAATAGGGCTACATACCCTTACTATACATTTTTGGGCTCTACAGAAGCAGTAGAACCCAAATATATAACCACAATTCTGTAGGTGCAATAATAAAAAAGTTTGGAATTTATTTTTTCTAGGACTTGGAACAGCCACCCAGGGAGGTCATAGTATTGACTTCTGGGGGCTGTTATGGACTTATGTATTATGTAGTATGCTTTTAGGGGTGGAATTTACATAATATTTTTAAAAAAAAGGCAAAGAAGAACCAATACATAAGTTATCTGGCAATGATTTCTTAACAGATTTGGTGGCCCTTCTGACTCTCTGGGAACGAGGTGCTTTACTCACAACCATCGTTGGTGATTCAACTCCTCCTTGCATGAAAGTCGTAAAACATGAATTGGATTTCATCTAAATATGTATGTACTTTAGTAAAAAAATCCAATTTGAAAGTCAAGAAGGTCAAAGAAATGGTTGGAAGAAGCCAAAATTGCCAAAAAAAGAAGGAAAAAGAGAAAAAAATGGTAAAACACAAGAAAAAAATTGAATAAAAAGCTTCAAACATTTGGAACACCCCCAGGGGTGTAGTACAAAAGAGGGTTAGGGCACTGTAATCCTTTCCAGCAAGGTGTTATATCTTCATAGTGTGCAATGCCAAAGGCCAAAATTCACTATATAAAAAAAAAAAAAAAAAAAAAAAAACAGGGGGTATGCGGTTAGCAGGGTTTAACTGTATGTATGGGATTTTGAGCAAGATAAAAATTGAATTTTCATGTCATTTCGCACAGGCCCAGAGTTTGTGACATGCAGATTTTGAAGCTTCCCGTGGGCAGACTCCAGCTTTGGAAAGTCGGCTTCCGCGCCTCGCGGGTTGAGTGCCTGCTCAGTGCTTGGCACCAAAGGTGTTTTCTTACAATGCTTGAATCAAATCTATCTAGTAACATTATCAATCACTTGGAGTCGCACAGAATTTCGGAAACAAAGAAGAATACGTAGTGGACGCGCAGGCAGCGGCAACAAGATACAAGGGGCTTGCGACGGCAGGACACGAGCTGAGGGATGATGACAATGGGATCAAGAGACAGATTTGACCAGATGTTTTCGAAGCGCGAGTCAGCGATGGATTGGATTGTCTTCCTGACCAACGATAACGAGGCAGATCGGAAGGTGATCGAGCCAGACCATCTCAAACGAGCCGTACTAAGTCCTCCCTATCTCTCAGACTATTGCTCGCTCTATTCTCCACACGACAGTCATTCATGCATGTTGAGAAAAAGTGTCTGATTAACTGGATGTGACTGTATACATGCAGGTCCAATTCATCAGCCCGACTGACTACGAGGAGGATATCTTAATCGAAAGGAATCTGAGCGACTTGTGTGGCTATCCAATCTGTTTAAAATCACCTAAGGAAGCCAAGACGACTCTCAGTCCCATACGCAGAAATCTCAAAAACCCTAGCTATCTCCAGCACACGACGGGGGCCTCTTCCACTTGGAAAACAGTCACGTCGACCACATCTGGCAGTCAAGAACAAGAACCACGTTTTTGTAGTCAAGAGTGCCAGGCTCGGAGTGACTACTATTTAACATGCATCTTGAAGAGCCCGCGCTTTCGAACTCAAAACCAGAACAACGGCACTAGTGATGCCGTTTGTCAGCGGGATAAAAAAATCGTTTTATTAGAAGAGCTAGATCAAATTGATGACCGACCGGCCTTTCAATCAAGTACCTCGGCAAAGCAACAAGGTGATACACTGCTCAAGAGCCAAGCGTTAGACGAGGACCAAAGGACAAAGCCACAACAGCATAACTTCCTTGAACCCTTGTTGAACCAATTCCAATCTCACAATACGACCAGATGGGTCGACAAAAACCTGAATCCGATCTTCTCGTCGATCCAAATCATCGAGCATCCTCCTCAATCCTGCCTATCACCATCTGACACATTGAGCCCTGTAGCACCCCATCCGTCAAACAACCAGGACCCTGACCAGCGGTTTTTCCACGTCGCCCCTTCCTCCGACTGCTCCCTCTCAAAACCATCCATGAATCTAGTTAAACCCGACCAAGATCTCAATCCGATCCATGAACTATCTTCTTCGCTCACTCAAGCGCTCACCTCTCAAGCCATCTTGTCAAATTCAAACCCTCATCGCTCCATTGCTCCTAAACCTCGACCTGAACCGAAGGACGATGATCATCCTACTCCTCCTTCCACTTCCGAGTCTGAGCTTCCTGCACCAGGGCTCCTCGAAGCCGAGATCATTTACAATGTTGGCTCTGTTGAGGATCAGTTTGCTATTGACCAGGCCATGGCTTTGCGCGATCAGCTCGGACTTGTGTCTACATGAAATTTTCCACTTAATTCACTTTTCCAAACTTATTTCACACTAAGTTGCTTCACTAATGATGGTATACTAAGAAAACTAGACGCTTTATGAGATGCTGCTGTGGTGTTCCATCTCTTACGGATTTTGTATGGTATGTTGGAAAGAAAAGCTTCTGGAGCCTCGGATCACATTATCTTCTTTCTCAAGATGTGGCCTAAACTTGGGAACCATCGGAAAATTCGTCCTCGTTGTTTTCACCCATCCTACCGTTATGCATGTGTATAAATTACAAATAAATAAAGCGATCGTTTTGTAACCGATCGTGTATTCAACAGCTACCTTGATCTGACCTGGTGTCGAAGCGCTTTTGGATCAGTTGCCTCACTTGGGGCCTGGATAAGACAAACCTGTTTGACCACTGCATGGGCAGTCATACGTGATTTCGCTGGACATGGTGATAAATTTGATCCGCCGCCGCTGACCCAGGTCTCATCGGAGGATCCGAGAGAGCCCCAAGCCTCTTCGGCTCCTCCTGCGCCTGTATAAGTTGCGACCACGAACTGAGATGCCAATCGGTCGGAGTGAGCAGGAAAATTAAGGAGCCCTTCACCGTCTGACCGCCATTAAGTTTGCAACACCCCATCATAAATGTTGTTGTACCATCATTGCAAATATTCATTTCGGTCGCATCAAGGCCGGGACGTGTGTGATGCTAGGTACTTGACAATGTATCTAGCGTTGACCAGTCGTCCAAAGGAACCGTAGAGATGTCTCATCACTGCGCAATTACCTTGCGATCGGTCTCGAAATTTGTAGAGGTCTGTCAAGTGATGTCATCGGCTGGATGGGTGTCTTCTATATATAAATCCTGCCTCCCTGCCAAAGTGCACTCGAATCATTGTTCGCCTCCATTATCTGTAAGACTCTCTTTGCTTCAGTTGCACCTCAGACCTACGAAAAATCCAAAATGCGTAGGCCCTTGCTGAAGAAGGTGGCCCGAATTCTTGTTGCCTCGATTGGGAGCAGCCAGCTGCTTCTTCCAAACAATTTTTTACCAAGCGCCTTGGGGAAGCCAATGCAAGACCGATGGCGGGGACCCTATTCTGCTGCTCAGGAGATTGCCAATCATCCAACCGCCATGGCCCCGCAAGCACCCTATAGCAATGTCCCACAGCCAACGGATCCTACTACGACTTGGCTGCCGGTTGTTTATCCAGCATGGGTCCTGGGGCATGTGCCAGTGCAGAGGGTGGAAAACTATGGCACTACTCAACCGGCGTTGAACCCTCCAACCCAGATGGGACAGATGGGATATAGGCCAAACTTCGCAACAAGCTGGCATTCTGAGCCGGCTGGACATATAAGACCTGATAGCTTGCCAAGACAACCAAGGCGCGTTTCCTCACATAACACTAGGTCGGGCCGTGAAACGCTGAGCGCAGGGCCTGGATCATTCAACCAGAGAGCACCTCAAATTGGCCACAAGGACCTTCCTGGCCGAAAAAGCTCCCGACAGAAAACCGTGAAATCAGCTCCAGCTACAGCAAGTGACTCAAACTCGCTCCCGTCTTCGTCTGCTTCAAAATCCGATCAGGAAAAGATTGAAGTTCCTAGCCTCGAAAGATCTTCAGAGCCAAGCGGAGGTAGCAGTTTGCCCGTGCAAGAGGTAGAAAGCGTGCAACAACCACAGGGTAACCCCAACCCCAAACAAAGTGAAAAGGCTCAGAAAGGCGATAAAAAAGACAATGGAATAGATGAGGCAAACAATTTCCGAAACCAAAGCTCAAAAAAATTAATCAGGGCTTCCGGAAATGACGGTGATTTGTATGGAAAGGTGAAAATTCTTCAACATGACCGGGGTTCAAATGATTCAGGACCCTCTGGTGCCACATTTCAGAAAAACAAAAACACATCAGATTTTGAGAAACCCACGGCTTCTCGAGGGGATGAAGCATCAAGCAATAAAATTCTTGGACCAAATCTAAAACCCCCATCAATCCCTCCTGTTAATAAAGATTCCAGAGGTCCAGACGCAGTTAGCCATCCTAATGCCCCCAAAGTAAATCTGCATGCCAACAAAGATGGCAAGAACTCTGGCCTTTCTGAAACACCAAACAATCCAATCTCATTTGCTGGAAAAATTAAAGAATGGTTAAGGACACCACAGGTTGCAAATTTAGGCAAAGCTCAAATCAAGGCACTAAATGATAAATTATTCAAACCAGTCAAAGAAGATTCCAAAGATTATCTTTTGGCTTCACAAGAATCCCCAGTAGAAAAGGTGTTGCATCCCATTACAGTTCATGAAATTACAGAGAGTAAACCAAGAGACCCAGAGATATCTAAAGTAAATCTTGAGAAACACAAGGTTGAAGAACCTAGTCTAGAGCAAATCCAGCATGAAAAGTTGCCAGAGAAAGCCAAGGTTTCAAAGAAAGGTCATGGCCACAACAGAATAGTCAATAACTTCTTGAGAAATGACTTGAGAAAAGCCTCCAAAGATCTTCACAGAGATTCAAAATCTTCTCAAGGGGATTCTGAAGAATGGAAGGTAGTTTCAAGAGGTAAAAAAACCCCTGGAAGAGGCCAAAATACACAATTCATTGGAGTAAACCTCAAGACACAACTCTCTAATATTAGAAATCCTCAAGATAAAGTATCTAGTGAGCCTGAATCTATGAAAGAGAGGACAATCAATACAGTTGGGACTCAGAATGGGTAAGCAGATCACATCCAAAAATCATCTTTCTTGAAAATCAAAAGTGTTGATATGCTTATACTCTAATATCACAGGAGAGGGAATGGTTCAGCTCATAAGGAAGTATCAGAAATAAAGGAGATTGAGATGAAAATTGAGTGAGTAATGAAAATAATTCTGAGTTTTTGAAATTAATATGAAATTGAAAATCTGCTTCAAATTTTGAACCACAGTTCATTACATCATCCTGTCCAAGTAGAAAATCCACATGTTGAAGAACAAGAAACCATCAAAGTCAAAAGGTATTTGTTCATCTATAATTTATAATTCATTCTTTGACTCATTCATGTGTGGAACCTTAATTGATTCCTCTCCTTTTTCTTTTTCTAATTACCCCACTCATAATAAATATTTATTTTTGAAACAAGCAACACAAAAAACAAAAAGAAAAAAAAGGCCCCAAATTCTTCTCAGAATGGTGGTGAAAAATTGGATGGAGTTTCCAAAAAGAAGCAAAACATATTTGATCACAGAGTAAAAAACAAATCAACTGGAAAGTAAGTCAAAATGCTGGCCATTAGATTCATACAAAAGAAGCTGTAAAGGTTGAAACTGAATTTATTTAAATCAGATCAAAGCTGTTGGGAAAAGATGAATTTCCCATTGATTTTTTGGAAATGATGGAAGCACAGCATGTAAGACCAAGCTCTTGATTATGATTGAATTCTACAATTTACTAATCTCTTTTAGATAAAAAACAGGATATTAATGAAATAAAATCAGGAGATTCTTTTTATGAAAAAGCATACACTGCAGAAGAGTGTGTTGAAAGAATGTTCAATGAATTGTTTTCCATACCACTTGACAAAAGTTTTGAGTCAATTGAAGTTGTGTGGAGGAAAAAACTTGAGGATTATAAAGACCTGGATTCAATAATTAAAGAAGCAATTTACAAAAACAGGAGCCAACAGCAAAAAGATTCACTTTTTATAGACCATATCTCAAAGCACTTAAAGCCAAATGAAAAGGAGGATCACATTGGTATTGAAGAAATGAAAGACAATCTGTACATCCTGATAATCATGTGCAGAATTGAAAATAAATCAATTTTCACACAAGTTTACAATAATTTGAAGAATTCAATTGGTGAAGATGAAGCCTTCAGGAGAATTGTTATCCTTTCAAAGCAATTTGCTCAGAAGAGTATTAACAAAATACTCAAAGATGTCAAAAGAATTGATGGTGGAAATTTTTATCATTCAAGTTCAAAATATGGAGAATATGAAAAGAATTTTGCTTTCTTTGGATATTATGGTATTAACAACAAAAACAACATTGAAGATGAATTTTACTCCCTTGAACATCAATATATTGTAACCCATGATCCAAACCGACAAAACCCTTTACAGCTTTACTCCTTTAGATTTGTGTTTTTTGAGGTGATTTTGGGAAAAAAAGAATACTGGGACAGAAGCTCTCCAAGAATCCATTTCACAGATACTGAATTCATAAAATCAATTGAAAATAGCAACTATAGGAAAATCATGAAGGAAAAAGAATTTTTGCATCAACTTGACTCAAATGGCATCAGCTTGAATAGAGTTTTGACAGTCATATTGATTCTTGGACTGGAAGATAAGGGCTGGCTTGATGGAAAATCACCCAAACACATTCATTACATGTCAAAGGTGCTTGCCAAAGTTATTTTTCCAAATGAATATAATTATCTCCCATGGGTTGAAACACCTGAAAGAAAATTTCTGAAGAAATACTATGGAGAAAAATATGATAACAACTTTGAGGATCTTCTTATGAGATTAAGGAGAATCTCTATTTCAAACGATGAAGCAATTGCTTCAGTTTTCCCTGAAGATTTACCTAAAAAGATAATTGCCCAAAGTCAGTTGATTCAAAATGATTCTGAAAAAGAGAAATTCTTTGCAAAGCATGAACAGCAATGTAGAAATAGGGTATTTGACAATAGGTTGTTGCTGATAGATGAATTTGAAGTTGATAAACTTGCATCAGTCCTGCAGGATTTAGAATCAAAGAGAAACTTCCTCCATCATTTCCAAAAATAATTTGTTTTTCATCATCTAATTATAATCAAGTTTGGGGCCCATGATTCTTTCAATTATCACCATATTTTTCCACTTCATTAAAAATTCCTTGTGCTGATTATTCAGCTCAACTGTATATGAAAGACCAGTAGGGCGTGGTGAGCTGAGATTGAGAGAAGACTAAGAGAGAGCAGCAAGGCTAATGAAAAGACAAGCACCTGCGGATGGTGCGGGCGGACAAATGGACTATGAGATGAGTGCATTGCATGACAAGGAAAAGAAGAAGATGAAAGAAGAAGGAAAGAAAAAGAGAAACAGAGCTAGGCAAACCTATGAAAGACCAGTAGGGCGTGGTGAGCTGAGATCAAGAGAAGACTAAGAGAGAGCAGCGAGGCTAATGAAAATACAAGCACCTGCGGATGGTGCGGGCGGACAAATGGACTATGAGATGAGTGAGGAAAGAAAAAGGAAATACAAGCTCGAGACTAAGGTGAACTATATACAAGGTGTAGTGAACCCTAAGTTGAGGATAAACAAAAACCCGCAGTATTTCCACCTCACTAACCCCTTGCTGTGTCCACAGTCTAAGCCGTCTTCTTCATGTTCACAATGTATAATCAAGTGTTCTTGCCTACATAGAAATCCTTAGATTTTTTGTTTAAATTGATACCTGTTCCAATGTTTACTATGATTTTTGATAGAGATATCCCTGCTGCATCCGGATATCTGTGCAAATTGGGATATCCAACCACTTTTTCAGCAGAAACAGACATGCGGTTCCAATCCGCATCCGCTGGCGGGTATCCATGGATACCTGCCCTTTAAATGTTTGACAAGGCACAACCTCACCAACTGGAACTTGGAAGGATAACCTTCTGGTTCACAAGGTACGTGTACCTTGCCAGCTGGAAAGCAATCCTCTCAAACCGTCACTCTCAGTCTCTCCACCTTGGGTATCCCTGGAGATACCTGAATATCTGCCAGGATTTTGAGGAAAAGCGGTCATCCACACCCAAATCTGTATCCCCTGGAGGGCATCCATTGGGGCTGGTGGGTATGCGCAACTGATAACTTGAGGCCATCTCTAGTTTTTGATTGCAATATCTTTACAAAAGAAACAGGGGCTTGGTTGATCCAATCGCAAATTTGGGAGTTGTTGGGAGGACCAACTGTGGACTGCCCCCTAAGCCTTGAGAGTTGTTCCTCCCATTGATCATATAGTAGGAATGGGAGTAAATTACCAAAAGAAAAAATAAATAAATCATTGCCTGGAAGAAATTCTGGGGAATGGCCTCCAAATCTTGGCGGCCCTCCTGGCCATCAAGATCAATTGGACACACTCAGCAGCTGGGAGAAATCCTCCCGGCCATTGAAGTCCCCCCTGCCAGCTTTCAATGGCTGGGAGTTAGCCCTCTTGGCCGCTGAGAGTGCACAACTCTCAGCAGCCAAGAGAATCCTCTCAGTTGCTGAGATTGCACAGCTCTCTAGAGGTAGTGATGACATGTCCAGGGACATGCAACTAAACACAGAGTTTAATCTCAGCTCAAACTTAAACAATGGGGTAGCATGGGATGGTACTGAACCTAGAAGAAGCCCATCCAAATTTTATTGAAGAATTTTGGCGCCTGAGTGGGTATTTGGAACTCTTCCAATATCTCACCCCACACACCAATCACATTGCAATACCTATCAAGATCACTTAGCTGGCAAGATCCCCGGTAATCCCATCATCAAATAACTACCACCATCACCATTGTAGGACATTCAACCCCCCCCCCCCATTATTCTGCTCACCAGTACTGTAGTCCTAGCTTGTTTTGACCAGTTGTAACTGGAGGGCACTCTCCATTTAGTCATCTATTTTCCCCTACACCTAACTGCCTATTGCCTGGCATGGTAGGAGTTCACCAACGTTGGGGGCTATGTTTAATTTACCAACCCCCAGGGCCAAAGCCCCAGTTATATATATATATATATAGTTCCCAGAATATATAAGCAGGTGGACAGCAGTGATACTCATTTTCAATGAAAGAGGAAAAAGAAAAAATCACGAACTCACCTAATCATCTTGAGGGGGAAGAGCACTCATATGTGAAAGGATGTATTGAATTATATAGTGTGATGCATTTTTTACTGCCTAATTGGGAAGGATTCCTCCTTGGAAGCTGGTACAAGCTCTGGTATGGACCAAATGCTGAATCCCACACAATTCTAAAAGGCTACAAAACCTCCTATCTGCGTGTACGATGTAGAGCGCTCTGATATAAAAGTACCTCTTCCTGTCATCAAAACCCTGTTTGCCTACCTTATCAACTAGCAGCGAGGATATGTGACGGCCGGTACTTCTGTTCCCCAAATATGGATGGATCGCTAGGATAGTTGCAGAGCCCAAACTTCAGAAGTTCCGGATCTTCAGAAACCCAGAGAATTAGCACTTTTCGTTTGCCCCGATTCTCGAATCTCGCCATTAATATTGTGGGTTCATACCGAGAGTCATCATCGCTTCAGGAGAATCAGACCAAGTGCACCGTCCTCGGACCATTGTGTCTTGAACTACATAGCTTTGGTTTGAACGAGTTTTACAGGGCTCACATGAATGTGTGTGCAAATATGTTTGTCGCATTCGTTAGGCCATTTGTTCTCATAGAATAGCCTGAAGATTTCGAAGCGCTTCTTGATCATGAGGTATGGCTTCCCCATGTGAGTAACCCTCCTGTTCTGGAATAATCCGGCCAGTATAGGCTGCTCGCACTGGTACTAACCAATCCCAATTGATCAAAAGCTTACCCATGACCCATTCTAAATGATATGCCCCCCTGAGACTTGTTGAGGATCGAGGATAACTAGCCTCGAAAGTCATAGATTAGCTTTTTCTCTGGTACTTGCTTGTACCCGTTCCTAATCTGATGGCAGAGTGCCCTTCGCAAACTCTTCCTTAACACCACTCGATTCTCCCATTTTATACATTACTGCTACCATCATCTCCAGAGCTACTTCTGCCTTCACCCGTATCCTTGTTCGCACAAAGCTTGAAAACCTTGCCCATTCACATTCAACAGTCATTCATTAAATACAAGTTCTAGGAAGAAAAACGGAAAGTCTCTCAAGCTGCCCTAGTATCTTGGCCGACTCCTGCCACTCTTATTTTGTTTACTCACATTCTCAAGACTATTCTCTCCTTATCTATACCGAAGTGATTGTGTTTTGAGGGAATGGCTACTCAGAACCGGCTTGGCAGCTGGTACACCGATTCCACCTACAATGCTGATGAGGGCTTTGAGAACAGTCCATTTGCTACGGATCCTCGCACATTCCCTGTGCGGGACTCCTTATCTTCCACCGCCATATCACAACCATACGCGTGGGTTGCTCTATGTTCATTCTTCTTTCTTTCTATCCAGAAATAAATTGACGCGGAAAGAGGCTGCTTTAGAATGATACCCCTTCCCAACCAATTCCATCTATACACTATTGAAGAAAAGATGAATCTAGAGGAAGATATCGAACCTTGCCTAGCGGTGAAAAGGCGTCATGTGGAAAGTTTGGCTGTGAAAAACGGAGACCTGATTGAAAAATCTTTGAAGTAACTATTTTGATCTATTCTCACCAAATTTTTCTCTCTGTGTCCAACGAAGGGAACAATTGATCATGATAGATTGCTAACTTCAAGCTGGCCTGATCAAATTACAGAAGTATATCATTGATTAGGTCAAGACTCCTTCAGCAGCAAGAATCAAATCGAAAGAAAAATTGCGAGTTTCAACAGATCCGTAACTCCCTTGAAATCGTTCATTCTCTCGTACATTTGGTCCACGATGACAGGTGCAACAAGACTTGGATCGAATTTTCTACAGATGACTACAAAATCTCGTAAGTCTTTAATTATAACGTCAAGACTTGTGCAGTCTTCTCCCGACTTTGATCCCTGATTTGGCTTCAATTTATTGCTCTCATTTAGCTCCAACATGAAAAATTTGAAGCTTTCGAAAGTTGCGAAAGAGATGACTTTTTACAATGAAGGCGGGGAGACATTGTCGATAGATGAGGTTGAGCCGAAGACTCCTACTAGAATCTCTGTGGCCTCTTCATATGCCCGAAGTGAATCCTCAGCCGGTCAAGTTAGATCTTTCAAGGCGATGTCAATCACTACAAACGTGCCCACCACACCCACCAAACCCACGCCGGCGCCGACACCGACTTCCGAGATATACAGGCTCTACCATAGCCAATCTTCCGAGGACCTAACGTCAGCCGCGGACTTAACATCACTAGAGCAAATAACGCCAGCGTATCATCAGTCAAAGCCGTCACCTGCAAAGGCTCAGGAGAGCTACTACAAAACCCAACTCAGCAAGTTTAACTTGGAGAGATCAACGTTAGTTGATTCGATTAGAAATTAGAATTATGAAACATATCACACACTCTTGCTCATTCGTTTCTCTGTAGAACTAGTTCAACTGATCAAATGGTTAATGCTGAGTACAAGAATTCGCCTAGCAACCTTTCTAGCAACTCTGTCGCTGTCACATTAACCACGGCGCATGACGATGAGTGGGATCAACACGATGATATGGTCAACACGATCGAGAGCGGCTCTACCGATGAAAGATCAGAAAACTCTTCGCTGAGAAAACTGAGCATCGGACCGAACCAATCCAGAATGATGGCCCTAAAGCTTAAACAATTTACCCGTTCAGAAAGAAATAATCTGAATTACTCATCCTGATCTCATATAATTTGACCCCACTCCAAATTCCAACCCTAACCAATTCTCTTACATTTCAACATTTCGCCATCGCCCCACTGAATTCATTCTCAAGTTATACTCTTATAGCGGTGACCTTTTCCTATGAAAATCTTTACCCATCTCTCCAGAAAGATTAATTAACATAGTTCTTTGAATTGCCATTTTCAAATTTATCACATTTTTAATCCTTAATAGTTTTTGACAGTAGTAATTGTTTTTGATAGGGAGTAAATCTTGTTTGAAACAGATAACCTTGTTTGCATCCTGCCTTTCAATTTCAATTAGCCTACTTGTGCCAAGCAGCCCATGGTTGCTTTGCTGCTCAAAGTGAATGGAATTCATGCTACTTTTCTTGTACTGTTGAATGGATGTTCATAGAAATTGGAAATTTATGGGTGGCATCAAAGTAATGGGATATTTGGTAAATATCTTTGGTAAGATTCCTTCTATTCAGAATTCTACTTTCCTTTTGAGATTTTTCAAAATTTTCTTGTATATCCATTGTTAGCTAGAAACCCGCTTCCTATGTAGTTTGACCGGAGCTTGACCAGGTTCATGCCAAAGGAATGCTCCCAAACCCAACTTGAAAGAGGAATGGGTGGGACAGATTTTCAAAAACTATTCCTGGACTCAAGCTCCATTTGAGACATACATTTTAGGTGTCATTGGCACCTCTGATTTGTCATTAAACCATTAAGCTGCAGAATCAGGTGTTCATGAGCCATGAGAAGTGTATAGAGATGGCCCCGGCGCAGCTGGATATCCAGCTGCTTTTTCCAGGGAAACCGCCATCCGCATCCGCTGGCGGGTATCTTTGGATACCCGCCACTTGCGCAAGGGCGGTTGGAGGGGGCGGCCAACAATTGACCGGAAGGTCTTCCTTCCGGACAACAAAGTAAATGTGCCACATCAGCTGGAAGGAACTCATCCGAATTCCACTATGCTACCATTAGCCTAGCTGGCCCATTGTTGCTCCTAAGGAGGATCCCAAGGACTACACAGATGAGCATTACTCTAACAGAACACATACTACTATATACACCATGGGGCGGGTTTTTAGAAAAACCCCCCAGCAGCTGGATGGATTCTGTCCCAAGTGCCCGCAATTTGGTTGTGAAGCATCTAACGGGCGCTTGGATGCGCCTGGCATTACTTGGATGCTTCAGCAAGTGATGCTCAGCAGTGGAAACCATCCAGAGGATGGTGTACAGCCCGGTGTCCATTGGACACTTGATTGGGAGTGTCCGATGGGCAACAAGAAAAACATCAATCAGAAACTTCTCAGAGTGTCTGATTGATGGGTTTCACCAGGGTCCGGCAATCAAAAAAAGGGGTTGATTGTTGAAAAATGATCTTGGAGGCTGGTCAATGGTCAAAAAACCATCCAAAAATGCGGGGAGTGATAACCACACTCCACCCCCCTTTGCACACACACTCCAACACTCCCTTCTCTGAAGGGAGTGTGGGACCGCACTACAATCGAAATTGGAGTGTGGGTCCACACTCCAACAATCTGCAGGGGCAGTCCCCCAGCAGGTTGGAGTGCGCTCCCACGCGCCAATATGCTTTGGCATGTGGGCCCACACTCCCCTTCTGAGGGGAGTGTGGGAGTTTGGATATGTACTTTTATATACATACTGGGCTATCCCATGAGACCCAGGCCTGGGTCCTATGGGATAGCCCAGGGGCTTGAGGCCATTGCCTCCCAGTCCTGCCCGAAACATTCATACAGTCTTGAGCCCGGGAGGGGTTCCTCCTGGCCTTGAGACCTTACATGGCTCAAGGCCGAGAGGAATTGCTCTTGGCCTGAGACTGTACAGTCTCTAGGTCGACGAGGGATTCCTCTTCAACTGGAAGGGAAGACCCTCCCGATGGACAAGGTACTTGTACCTCGTCCATCGGAAGAAAGGCCTTCTGGTGGACCGTCGGGAGGGGTTCCTCCCGGCGAGGCAGCTTTTAAACCAGCTTGTTGGAAGGAATACCACGGACAATTGGGTGTTGCTCCGGGTGGGAGCAACATCTGGGGGTTTCAATGGGGTTTTGTGCGCAGTGACTGTGCATACTGCTGCAGTCACGCACTTGGATTTGTCTGGATGTTGCTTACCTGAGGAGAAACACCCAAATGACCATGGTGTAAATGTATAGCACTGCAAGCAAACGGTTGATGTTACCCACAAAAAGTCACCTGTTTGCATGGAGTGTAGGCAACACGGCCCGCAAGTGGGTGACAAAATTTGGATTTTGTCACTTACTGCGCACCCACAAAACAAAGTGACAAAATTTGAATTACATAACCTGCTTGTGGGCTGTGCGAGTGGCAAGGTACTGCATCAGTGAGCTCACTGGAGTTGCTCACAGTACCTACAGGTCATGGGTTCAATCCCTGATTCCTGGTGTTTTTTTGTCCCCAAGGGCTTCTAATCCCCGAGCTTAACTAATCCTCTTGTGACAAGAGTCATTTGCGGGCAGGTCGCAGCAGCCCAGTCTTGTCAGAGAGGCTTACATACTATTACTCAAAGCTTGCTTGAGGCAGGCATGATTTTGAGGTCCTTTTTTGTATTTTCCCCTCTGTTTTTGAGGTCATTGTTCTCAAAATTTCATTGTGCTTTTTTTCTTGTTCTATGACATCTCCTTGATCTTTCTGTATTTTTTTCATATTTCTATTTCCATACCAATATTTTTTAAAAGAACAAACAGAAAAAAGACAAATTCTCATTTTGCAGGCATAAAATATGCTTATACTGAGAGGGCGCTCAAGCCTCTCTGCCAAATTTTCAAATCAAAGCTCAATATCATGAACTTCATTGCATGTTTTCTACCAGAACCAAACTGGTTTTTGCAATGAAAAAAATATATAAAAGTCTGGATTATGTAGATGTTTCATCCACATGAACTAAAAATCAATTTGAGTTGTAATGAATGAGTGGTGGGGCAAACAAGGTCGCCACCACCAAAACCGTGTTTCTGCCTCACACCAGGAAAGTGTTGTAAGTTTCAAGTCCCTCTGAAGTAAAGATAGCTATTCGGTACCCGCGGCAGGTACCTATAACCGTTTGGCGGATACCCCTCACACCTGTCTTGCACCCGCGCAGAGGTGCTGGGCGCGGTACTAGGTACTTGAATTTGGCCAGAAAGCGGTGTGGTACCCTGGTACTGCTCACCCCCCAGGGAGATCAGGGCCTGCGGGAAGGTAGAATGTGACATGTGAATGATATGTATATATCAATATCCCTGATGAATATTGTCCTGGTCCCCTTGAGCTTCCCACAGCACTCAACTGATCACAACAGTTGACAACCATGGCTCCCAAGAGTTACACCCGCAAGCAAACCAAGAGTTAAGGTGGTACCTGTGGTACCTGCCAGAGGTACCTGTGGCACCACCCAGGAGGTGGCGGGTGCAGTACTAGGTACCTGATTTTGCCCCAAATTTGGGGGGGGGGGGTACCCAGGTACCGCTTGGTACCAGGGTCCAGAATGACTATCTCTAGCTTCGCGCCCAGCCAGTCACACCAGCAAGCCTCCCACCAAGGGGACTTGTGTTGTCAGGGGTTAAGAGGTTCTAACCCCCTCATAGACAGAAAAGATAATATTCAAAGAAATAAAGTACACATGTGAAATAACACACAGGCGCGCAAAAGAATGAATGAATAAAAGTTATTGAATATGGCTGCGGCGCAGCAAGAACTAACGCTTTGCAACATGTTCTCAACCCCAATTGTTGAAAAAAATATCTACTAATTCAAATCTGTTCCTTGACCCCAAGGAACAAGACACCCACAAATCAAACAGCAACCTCCAATAGTATTTAAGGAGGTTGCTGACCTATTCTTCCCTTTCCTTTTCCTTTTCTCCAGAGCGATTATACCCTTTAAACTAGCTACTATCAGATTGATTGTACTGAAACTACTAAGCGCCAACCACGTTAGCACTTGTTAGCTTGAACATTCACTTGTGAAGGCTTTCACTACCTAGCTGGAAGGCTTCAGTGACCTTTGTGTCTAACCAACTGAGATCTAACTAGATTATAAAGGCTTTTCTGCCCTCCTTTACGTTCCACCCACGACCTTATCACAATCCCATCTTGAAGTTCCCTCACGACTGTTACCCCAACTGTTAACTTGAAGTGTTAACTAATCCCAACTCTGAGCTGCCTCGAGATTGGTTGCCCTGGCTTGAAAGCTGCAGGAAGAAGCCGTAAGCCTCATTGAGTTGTCTCTGAGCCGTGCTAAACAAGACATTAACAATATACCTTACCTTCTGCAGAACTACTGGTTCTATCTGCCTTTTTTTCAGACTCTAGATACTACGATTTGCCTCTTTGTAAGTACCCCAAGTCTGACATGTGTTAAGTTTGTCTAATCCTACCATCTGATGGATGCGGCTTCAGCAAAATGCAAAGCACATCCAATGGATGCTCCTTGCAGGGCCAAAGTTGGATGGCATTTGGGTGTCCAAATGCCATCCACCACACCCAAAGGTGTAACAATAGACACATTGGGAGTCATCCACCAGGGGGAAAACAAAAACCAAATAGCGGGGGGAAGATTTTGGGAAGATCCAAAAAAAATACAAATTGATCCTATACACTACAAACAATACCAGTTTTGCCCCAGGAAAAGATTGTGTTTTGGGTGGTGGAAAATAGATCAAATTTCCTGAGGTGTTTTTACAAAATGAATCAGGAGTAAAAATTAGGCTAAAATGAGCTATTTTTGGGCTAAAATAGCTCATGTTAACCTAATTTCTACTCCCTCATGAGTCATTTTGCAAATTAAAAGCCTGCGGGAAATCAATCTATTTTCCGCCACCCAAATTGTCATTTTTTTCCTGGGGCAAAACTGGTCTTGTTTGTAGTGATCACAGAATAACACAATGTGAATGATTGATGGATGGAAAGATGGACAATAAGGCTAAGAGTAAGCCTGTTGTAAGTCCAAATATGGGGAGAGCAGCCAGGACCAGAATGCCCACTTGTCCTGATCTGAAACTGTAAAAGTTTTGTAGAGGAGTGGGTCCCCAGCAAGGAACAGATTCAATGCTACTTCCCTCCTGCTCCCATGCAGATGATCATGGTCAGTGCCATGGATAACACTCAAAACAGTCACAGGGGAGGGCTGGCAAGTGGTTTGACTGAGCAAGCAACTATTCTGATGGGGTTGTGTGCCAGATCCATACACATGTGAGGTGCCCGGCAAGGGACAAGTGGGGACCAACATAGCTTGGCTAACCAGATGATAATAAGGATCGTCAAAGGCACGAGCGAATCAGCCAGTCCTCTCAATCACCACTAAATCGACGCGTGATGCGTGTCAACGGGATTCTCCTAGACAACCCTAGAGACCACTCGATGAACGAAGGGGACGATAGCAGCAGCAGTGGCCGCAGCAAAGGGACAAAAAAACAAGATAGATTTACGCATTTGAAAGGATGAAGACAAACATGTTTCGGGACAAAAGGAGAGGAGAAAAGAGGAGAGGAGATCAAACTGTAAAAAGAGGAACAGTGGTTACATGGCGTACTACGAGTGTTTTTTTGTTAAAATCAAAGAACGAGGAGGTTAGTACGTGCGGTTTTGGAGAGATGTAATGCTGAGAGGGACGAGAACAGATTTGGGTTGAAGACTTACTTTGCGGGTGTGTTCTCGAGCGGTCGCTTCGTACTTTGCTCGATCGGTTTTATAAAGATTGGCTATCTCCGGTACGAGTGGATCGTCCGGATTGGGGTCTGTGAGCATCGAACAAATCGAAAGCAGAACTGTATAATACAAAAAAATACAAAATCAAAATCATATATCAATTTCTCTGAACAGCTCATGTCATTCAGGGATGTAGGATCAGGTAGGCTGAGCGAACCTTTGGAAATCGTTAAGGCTGGTGACCATTGCTCCCGAAGAATATCGAGACAGATCGATCCGTTGCTGTTGATGTTGGGGTGGTAGATCTTTGTCTTGAAGCAGACTTTGGGGGGCTAAGATTGAGAGAGAGAGAAAGAAGAGTAAGGATTTACTGATCAGAATTCAGTGAGATGCAGACGAGTGACCAACTTTGAAAGGGTACTACAAAACACGATCGAAATAAGCAAAGATGAGTCATCGATATCCACTAGATCGTTCATCAGACAGGAACAGAAATCGACTCACATCGGTAGGAAAAGTGATCATCAAGAAGAATACACCACCCGCGTATGGACTATCACCGGGACCCATGATAGTTGCCTGCCACCTGACAGGATCCAACAAGGGTAAGGGGATGAGTTGAAAGTGGAGGGAAGGAGGATGGAGAGAGAAGGAGACTCAACTGGAACATGTTGTCGCCCTTCGGTCCTGCAGAGCAAGACGAGGGAGGGTCACGGCCAAGATCATGAAGTTCCTAGAGGAGTGAGGGTTAGCTGGATTGAGCTGGATCCGAGAGAGCATAGGAGTGTGTGTAGCTTACCTTGTTGATTCGTTTGAGTGCCATGAGGAAAGAGAAGAAGACGAAGGAGAAGAAGGAGTTGCTGGAGATGGGAGTGGAGAGGAGAGAATGGAGGAAGAGGGTAAAAGTCAGTGGATGGTGATGGTGATGGTGATGGTGATGGTATGTATGTAGTATGGAGAATGTTTTGTTTATTTTTGTTTTGCTTGGTTTTGTCTTGTTTTGTACTTTAATTAAATGATTTAATTAATGAAATGAGGCTGTGACTGGAGAATGGTTTCAAGATGGTCAAGGGATGGGGAGCTGTAACCTGACGATAAGATGAACTCCGATCGGGGGAGGCTGAGGGAGACATGCTCAATGACTCACTTGCTTTTGTTCGGTTCGGTTGGTGTTGACTGGTTGAGTGCCTGCAAGTTGAAGTCGACGGAAGGCTTTGTGTGAGGGATACAAACTGAAACTGCAGCTTTGATGAGGGGGAAGTTGTCCAAGGGGCCGTTACAGCTGACAGTGTTAAACTAGCCAAAAACAGATGTGCTTGGTTTATGTAAGCTCAACCCGCTGACTGAGGGCCAGGGACACCACGTTTTAGAGCTAATTCCAAGGGGGGTTGAAGTGTCAATCACCAGTCGATCGACCACCTCATTCCCCCGTCCAACCATTCCGATCGGTCTCTTAATGACAGTCTCCCGCTCTGAAGCTGTTACTTCCACTCTCGGTTTCCATTCGATTTCATTCCATCCCTCTTGATCTGTTCCTTCGCTCTGACAGATTCTCCCTTCGATACATAAAATGAATAAATAAATACATCCCCAGAAAACTTGTCCAGCTCATGATAGCTGCCAAGCGTGTTTGCGCAGACTGGGGCTGTTGGGGTGACGATGCATCATCCCTGACAAGACTTGAAGTGTTCATCGTTGAGCTCGATCATCAACCTGACAACACCCAACCCAAGTCCATCAATCCATCCATGCCAACTTTGAAAGACACCGGAGGCTTTTGGGCTGTAACAAAAATCAACTCAAATTGCTGTCCAACACAACCCACAGCCCTCTACAAAGATTTTTTTTTTTGAATCAAACTTGAATGTGACCATCAGATTATGTTAGGGCAGTTCACATGGGGAACTTGAATGTACAACATCAGTTAATAGAAGTTTCATAAATCAACTTTCTGACAATTTTGATCAATTTGAATTTTTAATAAAATTGGATGATACACATGATCAGTAAAATTTGAGAGGGTTGGAAAAGCAACTACCAAAGAATGAGAAAAAGGGCTCCCCAAGTTAGGGGAAATTGAGAGGGATCAATATCTCTTGATGCTCCTGGAAGCTATGTTACTAATTCCTCCAAGGGGAACATGGCAAGAGGTTATGAACCTGCTGTTTCAGTTTGAGAGGAAAGACCTCTTGCTGCAGCCAGGCATCTTATGAACCTACTGGTCAAGAGACAAGACCTTTTGTCAAGCAGGTTGATTGTAGCCTCCTGTTCATCAAAATTGCACATTATGTCTCCAGGTTAAAATCAGTACAAGTTATTTTGAACACCATAATTTTCTTTCCCAAAAGTCTTGGACTGGATTCCTCTTTTTCTTTACAGACTAGAAGCTTTTGCAATCTGAGCATGTGAAATAAGGGCCCGTACCGTAGGGTTCAATTTTCAAAAATGGGCATTTTTTCCATCCTCTGCACAAAAACTGGGAACAATTGGAGAGATCTGGTGTTGAAATTCTTCACTTTCATGCCAAAGACTAGCTTCTAGTTATTGTCAATTTTGATAATATAAAATTTTGAGCAAGATAAATTTTGAGAAATTGAATTTTCATGTCCTGTGTTACAGGCCCTAAGTTTGTGCACCATGTTGAGCTTGATGAATTTTTGGGTTGGAGAGCCAAAGGAGGGAAGAGCAACCGGAAACAAAACTCTTGAGGAAAAAAGGTCAGAGAGAAAAAATGGTTGAAGAGCCCTCAAAGAGGGCTATGAGCTGCTAGCTTGTGAGACAGAAGGGCATTCTCACAGTCTCACTTCAAGGGGTTGTACCCTGTAGAGACCCCAGGGATCAATGTGCAGAAGAACTGATGGCTTCATTTTCTAACTCAGAAAGCATGAATTAAAAACAGATAAATTTGTCAAGCATCTGCTCTGACTGACAGCATTTCTGCCTCTGTTTTCAATTTCCATCCAAGATCCCAGTAGCTTACTCAGTATCAGGACAAATGGTAAATGTTCAATACCTGATACTAAGCTAACTTCTGATCCATTGCATCCTCCCAATTCCTTGACACCACACCCCCTCTTTTATGCCTTTGCTTGTATACCTCAATTCCGCTTTAGGTAAATTCAAAAACCACCTCCCATCACACTTCCCCCTGCACTGCTCCCTATTCTCTCACCCCCTCATACCCGCAACCGGATCACTTGACTCCAATTTCAGCTCCCTGACAAGTTTGGCTTGCATGGTCTCCATCTCTGTTCCTATGCCAATTCCAAAAATCAAACACAATTGTTGCTGTTCTTCCTTATTTTGCCACTAATTCCCCTACCAACTTTCATGGCTTCACCCTGCACCCTTCCATTTCCTTTCCAGGACTTTATTCCTCACTTTTCCGGAGAATGTTTAACTTATCCAACGCCCAGTCGAGTACACGGAGTCTGAGATGATAAATAGTGAATCAAAGTAGAGAAGGGGGGGATCAATTAAGTAAGACTTTGAATATCGATTGAAGGTAACAGAAACAGAGGGAGGTTAGGCTGCCCCCGGTTTTGGTCGAGTTATCGGTGAATCATTTATTGAACCAGTTCCAGAAACAGGCATCAAACAATAGATTGAGTGGGTTGTGAATCAAACTGTAGGTCGAGAAAATGGGTACAGAACTGGATGTTTGTTGCCTAAACAGGGTTTGGTCCTTAGTAAAATGCAGCAACTATGATGGAAAACCAGGTAAAGGTGATGGTGGTGGTTAAAGCCAGTATTGGGTGGAGGATCGGGGGTGGGTGGATCTTTTCATGTAATAGTAGAGTTGGAATGACAGAGTTTTCTGAGTCGGTTTGTCAGGGACTTGGTTCTGGTCTTGTTGGCCTACAGGTTTTCAGTTGAATGAAATAAACAGTTGAGCCAATACCTGGGGTCTGTTAATGGTCAGAGGGTACAGGCGGTGTAGGTTGGTTACAATTTGCGGGTCTGAGCGCGGCGGAGCCGCGAGTTCCCTAGTATTTAACTACATACAAGTTATGGCTGAGTTGTGGGTCAGAAGAGGAAGATGCATATTCATCTGGAAATGAGGGGAAAGGAGTGACAGATGAGGGAGGACTCAGGAGTGACACTTGTGTGACAGAGAGAAAATGGAAAGGGACCAACAACAGCTGAATTCCAACAGAGCTACAGTGGTGCGCAGCATTGCACTGTACAAGTCTGCCCGCAAAACTTGTTCTGGTCATGTGGGGTTAAACCCCAACCCCGATGGGGGTACAGCACTTGTAATAAGTGTGTTTTTGGAGTCTACAGGGTGTGTAGATTCCAAATCTAAAGTGGCAAACAATTTGGTCCAGCCAAAAAAAAAAACTTTTTTTTTTCACTCAACCATTTGGACACAGGTTAGAGATGGTCGCTTTGCATCCGGATATCCACTCTTAATTTCAGCAAAATTGCCTAATTCTGCTGAAATTAAGAGCGGATATCCGGATGCGAAGAGACCATCTCTAACACAGGTCGTGTATGGGGGTCTTAGTACATATTTATGGGTTAGACAGGTATCCTAATCCCATACTCAGCCAAAAACCATAAACATGAGCTTAAAGTGTGTTTCACAGGTCAATTACAGCAGCTGTGACACCGGATTTACGTCTCAACCACCCAAAAACAGGCAAAACTCACAAAAAAATCCAAGTTTTGGGCCCTGACCTTTTGCACATTGCAAAACCTTGTACAGTACAATGCCGCACACCACTGTAGCTACTCTAGACCCTCCAGACTTGCTCCATACCTGTCACACAGGTTCCACACATCAGCTTTCCTCAGCCTTCCATATGCACACTCATAGACTTGGGAATTATCTAACAGATTTCATAACCATGTAGTAGGCAGACAACTGATAGAATCTTATTGTGAGTCTAAAGACTCCTGTAGAGCGACAGAAGTTCCTAATCACATGTGGTCACAACCTCCCAGCTTATTTGTGAAACAATCTGAACCAAGCCTTTCCTAAATCTGGGAAAGACCCTGTTGGATAGATCTGGGGTTGGGTTCATCAAACCAAATTATGTGCAATTTCAGACTCAAATTGAGTGATTGGTTCAGAAAAGTATTGGAAAGTTGTGAAACCTCGCCACACACAGGTTTCACAAACATCAAGCTTACATAATCTTCAACTAATAAAAATCCTTTCAGCTCCCCTCTTCCTAGCTCGGTAGAGAACTATCATCCTCTATTCTACCGAGCTAGGTGAGTCTTATGTTTTATTATTCTTCTTTCATTCTTTCTCTCTTTCATCTTTTCCTTATCACTCCTGATTTTTCATGAATTGTACTGAGAGAACTATCATCCTCTATTCTACCGAGCTAGACGATTGAAATACAGATTCATTGGTTCTAGAAAGTTCTCTCCCAGCTACATTGCTGGTCTCGACGCAACTTAAAGTCACGATAGTGAAGAGTCACGACGCGACTCTTACAAAAGTACCTGGGAAACTTCTCTGATGAGCCCTCAAACCAGAATTCAACACCAGCTACTTTCCAGGATCTTGTTGAACCTGATTCGGTGGAAATTTTCTTTGAGTGAGAAGATTATCCACTTCTTGCCAAGAGGTAATCTTTTGTGGTAACTGGGTACAAGATGCACGACTTGCCCTGGAAGCACCCTCCTTCTCCAACTGGTACAATTCCAGTAATTACCAAGGGAGTAGAGTTGCACTGCACCACCTGCTGACAAGTCCCCCAAGCAAACTGGATATTGCATACCCTGATTGCACATAGGATTCCTTCTTGGTAAGCAGTACACCTTGTACTAGGATGCCAGGTATAAATCCTCTCCCACAACCTGGGTCAAGGAGGGACATGAAAGAAATTGCAGAAGTCCCAAAAATTGGGTTCAATCAGCTCACGCTGGCCTGAAAGAGTCTGCACAATGTGTGAATGAATTTTGATTTGGGACATGTAATTGGTTCAGTCCATGGGGGTTGTTAGTTTGACACTCTCAGAAAGCACAGTGCAGAATAGATTTTTCATTGTTTTTTCTCAAAATGATTACCCAAAGAGTTTGTGTGACTTCTCATACAAATGTAATGTCTATTTTGTGGTAATATATATAATGTACATTTAAAGTTGTACAGGACAAGCAAACATGATAGGGCTGAACAGATCAATAACTGAAGAATTAAACTACTTGAAAGCATGATTAAGACGTAATGGTGTTGTACAATTAAAAAAACATGGCTAGACATCTATACTATTACAACTATATATGGGTTAAGGGATGTCTGATTCAAATCAGATCAAACAAAACTGGTTGATTGATAACTCTGGTTGCATTGGTGATCATGAAGATTGAGAACCAAGTTTGATGACTATCCAATCGATTTGGTGAAAATGAATGTCTAGTTGGATCAAATTGTATAAACCATAGCAGATACTTAGTCTACGACACCCCATGTCATGAAAGAGAAGTGATTCATATCCATAAGCTCACAATTATGCCATCTTTGGCCGTTTGATCATCTTGTGAATGCTTCTCGGATTTCTTGGATAAGTTGGGATTCAAGGCTGACACGGTTTGATTAAGAATTTCATCTTCTAGCTCATCCACCGATTTGGGATCAGTAGCATTCACATGGACCCATTTCTCTAGTTCGGCCAACTTTCTTTTGAGCTTGAATGCATCCTTCAGAAATCGAACTGGGTAAGTATCTGAACAAATTTTCAGCAAAATCTGTTTTTCAAGGCTTACTTCTTTCTCTGATGGTTTATACTTAGATGCAGGTAAGAATCCTGATAAGTCTGCGTCCGGAAGAGAGGCTTCAGAATCTGAGTGGTCCAGACAAGCCATCGGATCTTCCCTCTCGTCTTCCTCTTTCCACCCCTCTGGTTCTTCGATTGATTTGTTTTCTAGGCACTGACACTCAAGTAAGTCATGCGTATAACAGTCTGTATCGCTGTGTAGTTCAAAAACCCTCTTGAGCTCGTTTTTCGTAAACGTGTTACCACCACCTGCAGTTTCCTCGCCAGCTTTGGGAGCACTCATCAAATCTGTCGCCAAACTAGTATAGAATATTGATAGAAAATACAGGCAGATGAGTTGAAAAGAGCGTTTTGTTTAATAATGCATGATCTGTGTATCATCCATACTTACCCAATCTTGGTAACTTGCCGCTGGAAAATGCATTCATCAATTGTACCTGTGGTGAGAAAGCGATAGATGTGACACGGCTTTTGCTGCCCCTGTCTCCAAATCCGTGCCATTGCTTGCAGATCAGTTGCTGGGTTCCTATTGAACAAAGTGCGGTAAATGAAGTCAGGGTGACATATGCGACGTGCGATCGTTTTGTATTTCTTCATCGAAAATTCATGTACCAATCCCCATCAAACAAGATCAACCGTGAGGCCCCGATCAGATTCAGCCCAACTCCACCAGACTTGCTACTTAGCAAAAAAATGAATTGAGCGCTGGCGGATGATCGGTTGAAGACCTGGACAATATTGTCCCGCTGGTTTTGGGCCGTTTTACTGTTGACGAAGTCGGGTCAATGATGCATGAAATACTTATAGAGATTTCCCTCAATTTAGTTTACTCACCCATCCAGACGACAAAATGGGTAGTGGCTCGCCTTACAATGACTCTCCACGATGTCAAGAGTCTTGGTAAAGTTCGACACTGGGCAAATGATTTGAATTCAATGATTCTTCTCGCCTTTTGCAAACGCCAGTCAGATGACCTCGTACCTAAAATTATTTTCTCGTTGTTCTTCTTTTTCAAGATGTCTAAAAACTTTGCCAATGCTATCAATTTGCCTGGATTCAGAATATTTGTCAATGATGCGTTGTCCGAGGGGATGTGGTAAAAATAAATCTTTCATAGATTGCATCGTACCTGAAAGTTGAACATCCTCACGAGTGACCCAAGCTGGGAATAAGGTGGAAGAAATTTGCCCCAAGCTTTTGATCGAATATTCGTTCATTAACAATCCAGGCGACTGCGGATACACCAGATCAACTACTTTGCAATCAGTAACACTCTGGAATTTACAAAGCGCGAGAAAGATAATGTTTTTTTACATTACAGAGGAGTTTCAAAGTATTCATCAGGACGAGATGCTGACTGATGTCCCCGGAAAAAATGGCTCTGGTTTCCGGCGAATCGAGCACAGCTTCATATATGTTTCTTTGGACAGTTGTGGGTGAGATGAATACGCAGTAATCGTGCCGGGGGGGAAGGTGTTCTTGAATTACTTCAGAGCCTCTCCGTAACACGTAATGGCGGCTCATTTTAGCCAGTTCCTCTGCTCGCGCCTCGCCTTCCGATCTTTGAACTGGGTTACAACAAGGTTCCCTACTCTTGAGTATCGGTTGCTCGAATTTCTTCTTGAAAGTGCGATAATCGTCTAGGATCCCAGGGTTAACGAAATCGACCATGGCGTAATATTCCGTAAGATTGTTCTGGATGGGAGTGCCAGATAAGACCACACGCCGTTTAGTTTTCAAGGACCTCAAAGCTTGCGTCGTCTTGGCCTCGATGGACCTCAAGCGATGGCCTTCATCTGCAATAATCAAACCGATCGGGGGGTAAATAGACTAATGATTGATGTTGGAAGCGAGATCAATCAACCAGGCGCATCCAGTAAGTTATGAAATAATTATGGACCCACATTAACCTCTTTGGATAGAGTTCTTAATTTCTCATATCCGATAACCAAAACGTTGTAATAAAGGCTGCAGGTAAACTGGATGAGGGATTTCATTTGATCAATTGATTCTATATTAGATTTGGCTTTCCAGATAGGAAAAAAATAGAAGCACGGACTTGTTTAAAGTCGCATTTTCCATCAGCTGTAAATACATTCAACCGGCTTCTCCCAAGCCATTTGTGTATCTCTCTCTTCCAGTTCTACAATTAAAATATTGAACGCAATGATCAGCATAACTGTCGAACAAATCAAATTCAACTGATAAGACTCACTTTCACCAATGTGACTGGGCAAACTATCATTGCTCGCTTGATAACTGGTCCTTGCCCTGAGATAGGATTTTGCCCTGAGGGGATAAAATATGGTTAGTGGGGGGTATCACAAAGAAATAACCAAGAACGTAATACCCACGCAAAAGAGTCCATAGTAGGGAAATTGCTTGTATGCTTTTTCCCAGACCCATCTCATCTGCCAGGATACAGCCGTGACCGCCGACTTCGCGAAGTCCCATAGTGCACTATACAAAATTGGGAGTCAATTATTTTGAATGATATCAGACCAAGCATGAACTGCACACTTCATACATGAACTTGAGTCCACTTAATGGCGCACTCGAATTGTCAGGTACTTTTCCGCATGAGGACAATTTCGTGCAGTAAAACGTACTCGACTTGATGTGGCCTGAGTGATCGGGCGATGGAAGGATCAACTACCACATCGACGATCGCGGCATTCCTACAGTGAAAGCCAGTGATGATCAGGTAAAGATCAACTTTGATTGGATGAAAGCGAAGGGGCTAACTGAAGGTCGTGCTTCAGCAACCATGCTGTGCTAGGTTTTGTCAAAACCAACGCGCCCTCGGCTTGAGGCTAGAGTAGCAAAAAAGAATCGTTCCATCAAAATGAACACTAGTCGAAAATGATTAAGTCGCGTACGTCAAATTTTGGCCCAGTGTGGCTGGTGCGTTTGATAAGCATTGGATCTTTGAAACTCCCAACGGGGGCTACGAATAAGTATGAATCAGCATCTTGTGTCATCTTCTAGATCAAGTAGGCCAGCAGTTGGCTTACCCTCGTTCTTAACTATGTCAGTCCAATCAGCTTTCCTCGTTTCTTGAGAATTGCTCTCACAATCCAATGACTCTGATTCTGTGGCTTGCCTTTGAATTTCAGCTTCTCGACTTCCTACCTGGATCACTGAACCGCTTTCTAGGCTGGGGTTACGTCCCAAAAGCGTGCTTCCCAATACTTTACGGTTTGTACTATCCTTTAAAACAGCTATAGGACCCCTTTGCGATCGTTCTATGCACAAAATACCGTCACCGTCCCAAGTTGAGTTCTTGGAGGCTTTGAGCTTGCGATATAGGCAGACGAAAGCGCGATCTTGATGTGCTTCTTGCGAAATTGGCTTAACCTCAGGCGAACTGTCCAAGGTTTTGAGCAAAAGAGGCTTAAATCGTTTAGGCTCTTTTCCTGTTGTCAACGTGTCAATTTCACCATGAGAAAGATATTCGACTTTTGTGCGCTTGAGCCCACTCGAGAGCAGGGTGGAAGGGGCATTGAATGGTTGACCAGCAGTTGGTTTCGCAAAATATTTGCTCTGGTCAACCTGGGTTAAGTTCGATGGTCGATTTAAGGTGTTAAGGCGCATCGGAGGTTTAAATTTGAGGTCGACTTTGGGGGTAACTTTCGAGACGACTTTGGTTTTGGTAACGTGAGGTTGGGCGGGAAGTGCAGCTTGAATTCAAATACGAAGAAAACGATTGGGATCCACACTGGGTGATAGTTTTCTTAAGCCGAAAGAGTACTTACAGGTAACTGGGTGGTCCCATCGGTTTGATTTTGCTTCTTGCTCTAGCTCTTGCTGAGAAATTGGCTGATCAATCTAGTCAACACGTCCAATTTTACAAGCATTGGATTCGGAGTCAATATACAATTCTCTATGTAGCTATTTCGGTAAGCAGGTACTCACTTCGACCTCCTTGCCTCCAACCATGTAAATCTTGCCTGGTACACAATCGCGGTCAACTACCCATTGACCAGATGCCACTCTGGAAAGTCAACATGCGTCAAATGAAATTACAGTTAAACGACGACCTCAAGGACAAAAATTTGATGAAATTTAGGACCAGAGACGCATGCATGGACTGACTGGGATCCATCATCACGGGACTTGATGTAACAACTAGAACCTCGAATGCACAGGATCCCGTCGCCTTCCCAAGTCTTATTTTTACGCGTTTGAAGTTTTCGCCAGAGACACTGATGAGGAGCAAAGACGGATTTCAGCTTTCTGTTAAGATTGGAAAGGAAAGCATTGCAGACTGTCTCTTACCGTAAAATAGGCTTCAGACTGAGTCCCATTCGAACCAGAGGAAACTGACTTCACATTCATGGTCATGAAGGCGCATGTAGACTGCTGATGATGATCTTGAACGGCGCGGGTTTGAATAAAGTTGTTACACTCACCTGTCACAGGGTGTCGCGAGCCTTTCACCAACCACCGGCTCACGATCCGGTGTGACGCGACTGTGACAGTGGTCAACAGAGAGCATTTTTTGCTCCAAGCAGATCCAGAACCTCTAAAAGGGATACGACTCCTGATACATAATACGGTATTTCAGCAAAACTTCCTCTTGGAAACTATGCAACTTTCCAGGGATCATGTATTTCAGGAGTTTGTGTGAGTTTTTTAAAGGGGGTTGGAAAAACAAGTCCCAAGGAATTGTCGACGACTCCCAAATACGGTTGCCCCCTTGGACATTGCTTAGGAGTTGTTTTTCCAAATGGATGGCCATCCATTTATATTTAGTATTTTCATTTTTATTTTTTGGGAGTTGGCCCCCCAGTGTCAGTAATTGTTAGTAGTGATTAGTATTTAGTAGTTGAGTAGTTGTTGGGTAGCAGTAGCAGTCATCAGAAAAACAAATTCAGTAGAATCATTTATCAACATAATTATAATATTCCCCATACCCAATTAATATTAGTAATAATCAACATTATTTACCATTATTAAGCCCTTTAGCAAACAAGTAAGTTTGTGGTTTTTGATGTGAATTATCAAAAAGAAATCATGCAAATAGAGGTGAAGAAAAAATTTGAGTACTGTAAGATGACATCAAGGATAATTTTCTATCCGCCTAGAGGGCAAGAGTCATGGGAACTTTCCTAACTGGATTCAATGAGGACTAAAAAAGAACACAATCAAGCAACCATAGATGATGAACTTCAAGGAATCATAGCATAAATAATGAGAATTCAATTTAAAAATCGACAGATGCAATGTGGTCAGGCTGGTATGCTAAGATGAGTCAAATAGAAGACAAAAGAGGGGTCTGGTTATGAGAAGGTGAGGAATCCCAAAAAAATGTGCACATACAAATTGTACAAAGAGTCCCCTGGAAAGTGTTTAAAACTTGTACCTACTCACCAAGGCCACAGAAAGTAGGTACACCAAAAGCTGTATCTACCAGCCAAGGCTCTTTTGACTAGTAGTTTCAAATTCAGGCTGTACCAACCTCCCAGGAATTCATTATTCCTCTAGGTATGAAATTTGCATCAGGGATAAGGATCAAACAAAAATAAATTCAAAAAGTCTTGTGGTAACAAGAAGCTGGAAACATGGGTGAATTGTAATTCCTGATTCATGAATCAATGACAGTTTCAAACACTTCCCCCTCTTTCATCTCATGTGAAACAGTGTTAGAAAATTTAGAATCATGAAATTAATCCAGATTCAAGTTGTATATTTTTCATCATGAGTATACAACCAAAAAAGGAAGGTTCACATCTGAACTGTGTGGCAAATTCAATGACATTGATCATCAAAATTTGTCAAATTTGTCAAAAATATCAAATTCCTTGAGACTTGACAAAATTCACAAAATTTTATCTATAAATGTGCCAAACTTTGCCTTGAACTTCAGATATGAACCAGCCTAATAGGATTGGAAGTGTATATATTCATAGTGTGAAATTTCAAAACAAACATTCACTTGAAAGAAGGGGAAGAAGCCATACACATTTTTGGGAATCCAGTTACTTAATCAATGGAGGCAGTTTTGATTGCAAATGCAAAGGTGTTTCAGGCCCATCTTGGTTGATTTTGAGCCATTTATTGTAAAATTCTTGATGTATATGTTCCCAAACAGGCCCAATCAATTTCTTCCATGTGAAAGGCTCAAGTTTGAGCACATTCCAAATTCAATTTTCAAAAGCAAAGCAAGATGGCCCATGTGATCAACATTGCTAACCAGAAAAAAGGATTGCAAGCAAGACAAAAAAAAATTCCACATATGAGAAACTGGAAGACCTATTAAAATTGTGGGCCTTTACAGATGTAGCACCAGCTGTTTAGAATATCAACAACTTTCACTGAAATCTGCAGCTTCGAAGGCGGCTCGAGTTTAAATTGAATATGGCAGTATTCAATATGCGTCTCCTTCCCCGCCCTCGATCGAACCACTTCTCCAACTGTGGGCTGCATACATACAACCACCCTAAAACTTTCCTCACCATCAAAAACCACTCCTCAACGAACCCGCTTCAATAGACCATACATACGATGGGAAAGCTCAAATCAGACTCAAAGAAGAACCAGCGCCATGACCCGTTACTGGTCCAACTTCGAGACGACCAACTGGGTTCAGGGAAACTGTCAGCACCTGGTCGACGACAGAAGAGAAACAAGCCCGAGGAAGAGAGGAACGTTAGTATCCTTGCTCATCTTGAAATAAAGTCTTATCCTCGTCAACTATCTGAATTTCCCCCTCTTTTCTTGTTCTTTCAGCTAGCACTAGATGACAAAACGTCCAAGAAAATTTTATCGATTGCCAAGGAACAGCAGCAAGAGATGCTTTCATCTGAGCAACATGCTGAAGGTTTTCTCTCTGATGATGATGATGATGATAATGATGATTCTGAGAAACCAGCGTAAGTTTTTGATCCTCTGAAGAAACTAGGTGCAAGGCAAACAAATTAATGGCCGCAATTCTTTGAAGTTTTCGCCAAAGAGAGGTTGATATGGGTTCCGATTCCGACGACCAGTTTGAGGGTTTTAATGAAGATCAAGACGGCGATGAATCCGATGGATTTGACGAGGAAATTGTCAGAACTCGCTCATCTCTTTCATTCCCATCGAATCCAGTTTTGTTTAACGTTTCCCATTTATTTATTTTTTGGGTGATCGAAATCAGGAAGTCGATGAGGGGGATCAAGCCATATTGGATTCATTCCGAACCACTCCCTCGAGAAATTTGGCCGATTTGATTTTGCAAAAGTTGGAAGAACAGGAGGATAAACAAAAATTATTGGACGCCAAAGGCAAAGGTCAATTGATTAAAATCAGATAGAATCCGTTTCGGACCAGATGCTGACGTTTTCATTCGGACTGTACCTATCCGTCTTTGATCTCTATTATGATAGCCCGTCAAATTTCACCTACCGCAGACCATCCAGCTTCATTAAACCCAAAGATCACGGAAGTTTACACCAAAGTCGGACAACTTTTATCCAGATACAAATCAGGCCCATTGCCAAAAGCATTCAAGATCCTACCATCACTCCGAAATTGGTTACAAATCTTGGAGATCACCTCTCCTCATTCCTGGACCCCTCATGCGACTCTTGCTGCCACTAGGATCTTTGCTTCTAACCTCGAACCTCGTCAATGTCAGAAGTTTTACAAGTACATCTTGTACGAGAAAGTTCGAGAAGAGATCGCCGAGGAGAAGAAACTAAGTGTCCAAATGTATATGGCTCTCAAGAAGTCGATCTATAAACCGGCTGCTTTCTTCAAAGGAATCCTTTTCCCATTATGTGAAGTGAGTTTTTGTTGTCATATAAGTAGTTTGACTTTTTGGGCCCTCTACTAGAGGTAACGACAAATGTTAATCAATCAAACGTTTTTCCTCTCACCTCGGAAACCAGAGTGGAACGTGCACGTTGAAAGAGGCGGTGATTATCGGATCGATCTTAACGAAGGTCTCTATTCCAGTCTTGCATTCGGGCGCAGCGCTCTTAAAACTATCGGGAATGGAATACACGGGGCCGACCTCGGTGTTCATCCGGGTGCTTCTAGACAAGAAGTATGCGCTACCGTACAAAGTGATCGACGGGCTTGTCTTCCACTTCCTCAGCTTCAAACGCGAGTCGAGACAGATGCCCGTGCTCTGGCACCAGAGCTTCCTCGTCTTTGTCCAGCGCTACAAGTCCGACTTGACTCGCGAACAGAAGGACGCCCTCCTCGACCTACTCAAAATAAAAAATCATCCACTCATCACGCAAGAAATCCGTCGTGAAATCGTCAACAGCGTCGCTAGAGGCGAAGAAATCCCATTCGAAGATGTCGAGATGATCTAACTACTTATTTCCTGTCTGGCTTGATTCTATTTCAAATCTTCAACCTTGCGCAACTGTTCTACAATGTCTATCTTTTTTATTTGCTTATAGTGGATACCACTGGCAAGCGGCTTCCAAGTTTCTGCCCGGAAAATTAATCTGGAATGAGTTGAACCATCACTATCACTCTAGTGGCAAACTTCTGGTGTGTTGATGCGGTGAAGGTCCAATAGTGACATATGCGCATTGTGGGTTTAAACAGTAACTAGATACATAAATATTGATAAAAACCGTCGCAAGGTAATATTCAAGAACACAACCCCATATCACCATTAGCATACTACCAAAAAGTATTGATAAATCATTGGATATGGGTCAAGTTCCGAAGAGGGGAAGGGGGGAATAGATACAGGGATTGGATGAGAGCAATTGGAAGAGGAGCAAAATAGGACTCCGTCTATGAAGAAGTTTGGGAAGTCTGTTTCAATTTTGGATTGCATATGCAGTGAACAGTCTACAAGGCTGTCCTGTGGTAGATATGCTGTCAAAGGTTGTTGTTTGGATGCTGATTATATTATATACACCCAGGTGCATCTATGATGTTCAAAACTGCATATTGTGTTTCCAAGAAAGCTTGGATTGGTTTGCTTTTTGAATTTTTTGTAATCCTTTTAATTTGATATCGCTAATCCCATATCTTTATTTTCCCAGTCGGGTTTTATCTTGACAAATGTCAGATAACACCCGGGGATAAAACCACCTCCGGAGCCATGTTACTCCAGTACAGTGGCGCGCGGCATTCTACTGTACAAGGCCACCTGCAAATGTTGATTAGGTCGCGCGGGGTTGATCCTCACCCCCGACGGGGGTCCAGCACCTGTAAAGAACACATTTTTGGAGTCTACAAGGTGTGTAGATTCCAAATCTAAATCGGCAACCAATTTGGTCCAGCCAAACAAAAAAAAATTCTTTTTTTCACCGGACCATTCGGTCACAGGCCAAATATGGGGGCCTAAGTACATAAATATGCAATAGGCTGACACCATAGACCCATACTTGTATGGCTATATGTCAGCCTAAGCCCATACACATAAGCTTAAAGCCAATGTGTATGCTCAAAAGTGCATCAGCTGGCTCGATTACAGCAGCGTGGATGTCAGATTGACGTCTCAACACCCCAGAACTTAACAAAAAAAATCAATTTTTTCCAAATTTTGGGTCCCGACCATTCGGACATCCCAAAATCCTGTACAGTACAATGCCGCGCGCAACTGTACACCACGGGTGCACGGAGACGTTCTCAAGCCGTCTGGATTGAATGGCTTGAGACCCCCTCACCAATTGAGTCAAAAACGACCTGGAGGCGTCTTGACGTTTTCGCCTGGAGGTCGACTTGGGGGCGACTCGCTGAGCGCCCCGGACGTTTTCAAGTTGAACTGAAAACCAGTGTGTTCTAAGGTTCATGAAATTGAACCTTGGAATGGTCTTCGAGTCGTCCTCAGAACCAAATCAGAGCCAATTTGGTTCCGAAGACAACTGGAGAACCCAAATGGTTCTTGAGAACGACTCAAGAACCATTGAGTGCACCCGTGGTGTAGATGCTCTTGGAGGAGAATTAAGAAAAAACGAGGTTCATATTTGGAACCGGAGCAGTTTGTAGGTCCAGCAACCCGCTCCCTGGGATCGGTGGTCACTCCCTTCTGCCCCATCGGTGATGCCGACCAAGCACTGGACGGTCGAATGAGCTGAGAAAAAAGTTGAAAGCCCTGGGACACCTAAGGCAGAAACATATTTGAAATTAATAAAGCAGAAAGGTAAATCCATGAATTGCAAGGATTACAAAAAATTCAAAAAGCGAAACGATCCAAGGTTTCTTGCAAACACAATATGTAAAGTGTTACTTATCATTACAAACTGTGATTTTGGCTGGGGCCTATCAATTTAAGTTTCAAGTATGCTGATGGGTCCCTGCCAAATCTTGCTTTATACTGTTATACTTAAAACTCCATATGCAGTTTTGAGCACCATAATTGATAACACACTGAGAGTGTGAGTAAGGCTTGTCTTTGTCTGCTTGTCCTGATCAGACCTGGTGTGTCTGGTTTGAATCAAAGTTGAGAGACTCACAAAGCCGGTTGTTGATGTTTGCACTCTATGCACCTCCCCATATTTTATGGCTTTTATGGTATTGGTAGGTAGGCCTCTACAAAACAGAGTGTGTGCTATGTAAGCATTCAGAAGTCCAGCCCAGAAACATTAAAACATTGCAACATGCCCATATAATGATAAGAGTAGAATTTCATTGTCTGTCTGGTTACCTGGCTGCTCAATAGATTAACAGCCTGGAAGCCATGGAGCATCAAATGATGCTTTTCCTGCAAAAGTGTGTAGCAGCAATGACAACAGATATTCAATTCAAAGACTCCTTGTGGAAAGTCAAGAGATACATGAACATCAAGCTCACTCACTGTCTGGGCAATACAAAACATCACAACTGGATACTTTGAGTTTCTTTTTTTCTGCATCAAATATAAGAAATCCACCATTAGAAACCAGTCAATTGAAGGGGGGGGGGGAGAGATGATGAACTGACATGTTGAAGGCCTTGTTTGGACGCTCCCAATTTGGTTATAAATTGCACGGATTATCACAGGGGGGAGAGGGTGTGTGTTTTTGGGAGTCAGAGAAGCAAATGTGGATGGGGTGAGGACTCCAGTGCTTGTGTCATTGTGGTTCCTGCAAACAGAATGCATTTCCATTGAAACAAAGTGTACCACATGATATGGCTTGCTCTGCCGCTTTGTTCAGTTCTGCCGGAGTATATATACATATATCATAGAGGCCTGATGATCTGTCTTGCTGTCTTGGGCTTGTTCTGTTGCAGTTTTCCTTCATGCATTGCCATCAACACATTTATGGGAGGTGGCTAGTAGGGTGCAGCCCAGAGCAGCACCTGGCATCTGTGACAATGGTTGCTGCACCAGAGACCAGAGAGAGGAAAAAAAAAACACCAATATGGATGCTATGTTTGAACTTCTATAAGCAAAAGATAAAAGTGATTGAGAGGAGGGAGTGTTAAGAATGATGCATACATGATTAGTTTGTCTGCTGATTGATGTTGTTTTCTTTTTGATAAAGCACCAATAACCACCAACAATTTATAACATCTGAGAACTTTTTTTTTTTTTTGATTGATAGATTGTATCAACACTGCAACAAATACAATACACAGTTTGTATCATGAGGAATTGTAACAACATATATGGCAAAGAGCCAGTTTAAATGAATAAGACTCTCAATAGAACCACATTGGTCATGAAAAAAAATCACATCAAGACCATGATACATGAAAAAATACATGCCAATACATTGCAAATACCATATTTGTTGCAGCGTTGATTGTATGGATGTCATGTATGTGCTATGAGAGAAGATAAGATATTTCAAAATTTCAAGACCAAAAGAGAAAGGACAGGTGAGGACAATCAGTAGAGGGAGAGAGAGAGAAACCAAGGAAAGATAGATTGGAGTGGAAGTGATTTATTGGATGTATGTATATATCTATGTATGTCAAAATCAATCTTTTATCTATTGCAAAAATCAGTGGTTCATTTATAATACAAGTAGTCAATATGTATCTATGTATTGTTCATGTTTTTTTTTTTTATTCATCTTCAATTGCATGAGAAAAACAATAATCGAGAATAAGAAATCAACATTTTCATGATCATCAAAAAAAAAAAAAAAAAAAACAATGATAAATTAAATGAATGAATGAATAATGTGAAAAAATATATATGAAAAAAAAAAAAAACATAAGCAAGGGGGGTATGAGTGTGTGTCCAACAAATGATAATAATGAGAATATAAATTAAGGGAATTAAAAATTAGTAAGTAACGAGTATATAAGTATGTGACTGATAAAAGCAATAAAGTAGTACACATGTGCACGAAAGAAAGACATAACAAAAAGAAAGAACCAAATAAATTTTTTAAAAGACAAAGATGACTTCTTGAGGTCTTACAAACAAGCCTCTAGTGGGTCTTTCGTCCTCATAAGAGGCGGAGAAATGGGAGCGATTAGAGGAAGATTTGCTAACGAAAGAGGGACGAAGGGAGTTAACGCTTCCGACGTCCTCATTAAGGCCGTTGGAGTTAAGATACGAGGAGGTTGAGGAATGGGAGCGGTCGTTAGGAGGAGCAGATCCGGAGGGAGTAGCCGAGAGGTTGCGGAAGAGACGCAGCTTGGACTCCTTGGATTCCTGGCCGAGTTCGAAGTACCGCACCCCATCCACCGTCCCGTCGTTCCAATCCTTGTGGACCATCTCCTCCTTCTCCGCCACCTCCACCCCCACCCACTGTCCCGGCCCAAAGAACGTCTCCCCCAAGTACTTCACCACCGCCCGAAACTTCACCGGTTGTGCCAGCCCATCCGCCGCTGTCGTCGTCGTCGCTACCACACATGGAATTCCAATCAGAAGTACCGTCCCCGGCGGTTTCGACGGCGTCTGTCCACTACCACCATTTGACCCTCCCGCTATACCCGCCATCATCGGCCGATCCGCCCGGCCCATCATCTGACTAATCGTTGCCGATGACGATGGGGTCACGATGATCGTGCTAGATGGTGACACAGCTGGGATGTCAACCGGAGGGGATTGACTGGACGGTAGCCTGATGGTCGAATTGGAAACAGAAGAGCTTTTAGATTGATGCGAGGGCGCATCACTGACTTCGGAGGAAACGGTGAGATCGGCAAGGACCTCGGTAGGCTCGCAGCTTCTTGTGGTTAGGGCTGAAGGCTTCCTCGTGCGAGGCACCCGAGGCGACAAGGTCCCAGAGATTTTGTTCACCCTTTGTGGAGTGTTACTTCTTGAGCGCTCAGCTGGTGTTGGCAGAGGTGGGACCTCGGAGTTACGCGCCTTAGGTTTCAAAGAACTCTTCGTTGAAGTCCCAGGCGTGGAAGATCTGGTGGGAGAGACCAGTCCTGAGACTGAGCCGGACGCCTTAGCCGACACCGTCGTCCGCACCGAGGTAACTGAGCTCGGCCGTTTAGATACTGGATTGGGCACAGTAGGTGGCGCGATTATTGCTGCCCCAGTCCGAGCGGTGGCACTGGTAGTCCGAAGACGATCCGGTTTTGAGGGGAAGGCGAGTGTGGCGGGGCTGTGAGGAGTTTTCTTGACTGCGGGAGTGACGGGCTTGGTAGTTGTAGTCGGGGCGGCTAACTTTTGGTAACTAGTGGGTACGCGCGGACGATGAGCTCCAATGGTGGTGTTGGAAGTATCGGATCGTATCGACATGCTCGACGGAATCTTCCGCACCACCGGTGGCTTTTGGTTCGCAACGCTCTTGCGCTGGACCATTGACGATGCAGATGCAGCTACTGAGCGAGTAGAAGCCGCCGAACCAGCGGTCGCCGTCCGAGCCCTGGGTGGCTTGCTAGTAACGACCTCGGACGGTGGTTTTTTGGGGTCTGTGGGTCGCCGGACTTTAGGAGCATTGGACCCGCTGCGGGATCTAGCTGCTCTTGTCGATACCACCGAGGTCGCACTCTGAGCTGGACTAGGAGGGCGGGAAATACGAGTCCGCCTGGGTGCGACAGCTGAATAAGAACTTGACATTGTTGTTTCGGTCGGTTTGCTAGTACCACTCTTGGGAGATTTCGGATCAGCATCAGTTTTAGAAGACTGCGCTCCATCGGATTGAGGTGACGTAACGCTTTTGGTTGAAGTGGTCGAGCTAGACGCTGTCACCTTTGCAGGTGGCCTTTTCTGCTTGACTGCAACTGTGGCTGGCGGGGATACTCGATTTTCAGCTGGTAAGAGAGCATTGGAGGTCGAGGTGGGAAATGGTTTTGAAAGACTGGTTTGAACTTTAAGTTGGGGTGAGGTGATAGGGGTAGGAGCAGGGGCAGATGAGTGAAGGGTTGAATTTTCGGATGTGCGAGGAGTTCGAGGGCCGTTTGCATTGACGTTCGTGACAATTCTTGCCAGGCGTTCCTTTGGGTTAGAAACCGGAGTCTGTCGAGCACGCGAAGGTTGATTTCGCGAAGCGTTCCGACTTAGTACGGATGCCCGCAATGAGGCCGCACTGATACTCTTAACATCCTCACGGGCATTCAACTTGGGGGTTGACGCGGAGGCTTGCAATCCAGTTTTAGTGCGAGGTCTTGGTGCGGGTGTTGAAAGTAAAAGGTCCTCTAAAGGTACCTCGATTTCTGGGAGACAGGAAGGGCAGGGCAAATCAAATGTCAGAGGATGGATGATTTGATATATATAACATGACGCTAAAGGTATACTGACCATCTGAAATCTCCTTCAAGGCCCAATTCTCCAAGGGGTCAAATCCATTCAAAGCCCGTACGGTTGTCCAGTGCGACTTGATATACTTCAGTACACCTGCCTTGGCATCTTCTACAATCACACGTGCATCCATCGGCAAACCATCTTCCCTTAGTAAGACCTGGCCGACCAGGACTTGGTAGGTTTCAGCTGCGTTTTCATCTGTAAGCTTTTGGACCATGAGAATCAAGGCCCTCTCTAGTACGTCATTCGAGAAGCCCACGCCGACCAGGAGATCCAAGAAACCTTTGGAGGTCACGACGGCCGGGAACTTCTGTTGCAAGACCACGCCTATCTGTTCATCGACTGGTTCGAGCATTGATAACAGATGATCCGCCCAATCTGAGCGTTCGCTGGCAAGTCTATCTTTGAGTCGCTTGGAGCCTTGGATGGCACCGATCACCGTGTTCGGATCGATACTGAGACAGACCATGTCAACCAGATGAGTTTGTGCTTCGTAATGAAGCTCTCCGATCGCCTTATTCCAGATAGTACCAAACTGTTGGACAACGAAGGGTTCGGCAGCTTTTTCCAGTCGTTTACTAGCCACATCGAGCGCGAGTGAGAAAGCATAAACCCGACCGATCCGACTGATGCATGACTTGCAGGAATCCTTAAAGTTATGGCACATGTCTGAGATCTTGGCTTCGACCTCCTCACGTAGTAACTCTAAACCGAGGTACTGAGCACTCCGCCAGATCTGCATGGCGGTTGATAGGTCGAAGTTTCGATTGGAGAAATCCAATGTGCCGCAGTAGAGATAACCTAGAGAGAAATGCAAGGAAGCAGGTGTGAAGGGTGGAGAGGCAAGGGTAAAGACACGGTTATTTGAATCGGCATACGGATCGAGTAGCAAGGATGCGAAGTAAGGGGAGCGACTGCAGAGGATTGAGCGATGGGCACTGAAGACGGCCTCTTGCTCATAAGTGCTGTTTTCAGTTGGATTGTCAAGGTCTTGCTGGTTGATCAAGACGATTTGACAGTCTGCATAGAGTTTAGATCGCCACATGTATAGCAAATCCTAGAAGATTGCAGGAGGGAGGAAGATGAAGATTGTAAGATGATGATATTGTTATGGAGAAGAGGGCAGGTGAGTTGCTCACTTTTCTGAGTTTGTCAGTGCGTGCCTCGGGACTATCAGCGGCGGCATGATCATCGAATAGGAACGCAAAGACCTCGGAGAGTCCATTTGCGGTGTAAAGGGCTTCCAAGATGGATTGGAAGAGGGTAGGATCGGTGCCGTTGAGAAGAGCGAGTTGCCTGGTAGAGCCTCCGATCGAGTTGAGACTGGCTACGCTGGGTGAGGGGGGCCGGAGATGGTGTGAGATAGCAGACTGAGGGGTTATTGAACGTAGTGAAGAGTTGAGATAGACTGATGAGGTTGAAGGTAGTCCTGGTAATCGAGAATGAGGAGAGGGAGCAGGTGCAGAGAGATATTTGAGTTGGAATTGGCCACTGGCACGAGCATAGATGATGGCTATGTAAATGAGAATTAAACCACCCAGAAATTCAAGTCAATTATCAGTTGATGAGGATGATCAGTCAGGCAGAGGATAAACAAGAAAAAGGAAAATGAATGGATGGATGGATGTGCAGGATGAGTTGGGCGGAGAGTTTGGTTGTTTCTGATTGTGAATGGGCTGATGGATTGACGAACCTTTGTGAGCGCAGATGAGTTCTTCAGCACCCGGTTGGAGTGCCCAGGCGATATCTGCAAATCTCTTGTTTGCATCTCTGAGGAGGTTGTTGAGGTCGAGTTTCCATCGATCGAGAGAGGCTTGGGTGGCTCTGGAGAAGGATAGCTCTGGAGGGTCGAGTTTAACTTGAGCATGAGTTTGAAGTGAACGAGATGCCATGGGATTGGTCTGAGTGAGAGTCTTTGTGAGTGTGCCCATGAGTTTTTTTTTTTTTGAATTTTTGTTGTTTCTTGTTTCTTGTTTTGATCGGTTGTTGTTGTTTTTCTTGTTTTTTCGTTAGGTGCGTGTGAGGATGTTTGTAGTCGGAGTGTGTGGTTTCTCGTTTGTGGAGAAGGATATCCGACTGGAGGATGCTGGATGATGAGGTTGTTGTTGTTGTTGTTGTTGCTGTGATCTGCTGGTTGAGCTCTGTGAGGGAGGAGGGGGAGAGGGCATGTGAATTATGTAAGCAAGCCTTAGTAGTAGTAGTACCATCAAATTCAAAAGGGTTCACTCCATTCCTCAATCAGACCTGTGCAACAAGCCACATACATACATACACTCTCCAGCTGACTATGTCATGACATCATGCACTGGGACATATTATAGGACCCTCCCTCAACAGTAAAATCAGATAGGCAACTCTGCTTGAAATTCAGCATGGAACATCCCACTCTTAAACTCAAACAGGATAATTCATCTGCATGCAAATCTTGCTATCCAAAATCATAAGCAATCAGTTGGGTGCAACATGAACTGTCCTATCTTTTACATTTAATTCTTATCTGGGATGGAAGAGTCTCAATATACATCCTTAATCTTTAGCACAATTGATAATCATGACATAGACCTCAAACAAGATCAATCTATTTATTTACATATGATTGAAGGAATAGGCTCAGGAGAGAGCCAAACAGACCATCATTAAAACTAACATTAGCCTTGAGCTACAGAAATTGTGAACCTATTCCATGTGTAGCTTCTAGAGTATGTAGCACTTATGGAAGCCTGAAGTTATTTGACTCTCAACTCACAACCACCTCCCAAAAAGACTGCTGAAGATTATGTGGTTTGGTTGTGGTGATGATATTTACCCAGAATGAAAGGCTGATAATCAATCACCATTCCCTCCTCTGTTTACAATTGTACATGGCAAGAAACTCTAGAAGATCTTTCAAGATGTGGCTAAGATTAAACCCACATATAAACATATGCTCATAAATGACCAACTTATGAAAAAAGACATGGTCACTTGACAATGGACATTGTTTGGTAGCTGGTGATGGATCCGGCCTCACCATAATATTGATGGTTAAACAATAAGCATGAGATAAAACAACAGTTAAAATGATTCATGAAAACCAGTGGAAACCAAAGAAGGGGGTGTGATATTGGAGGTACTAGCTAAAGTGCTGACAAAAGAATAGTCTTAATTCTCAAAATAGAGTGTGTTTAATGGTATGGATCACTGATAGATCAAAAATCATATCTCAAACAAGCAGAATTAAAAGAAGACCATTCAATGGGCATTGTGTTTGATTGATTCAGACTAGGCAACCTTAATATAGCCCAGTAAATTCCCAAGGGATCTTGCAAGGGATGCCATTCCTTGTTGTTTGGGCATGTTCCACATGAGCTCAACTCAAGTTAAACCATCATGACCTCAGGAATTGACATGATAGTCTTGGATAGGGAAATTAAAATCAGCATGGCCAAGAGTATCAGGCCAATTCTGAAGCTTGGGGCCCAGGAGTGTTGTTTTATGAAAGTTAAGTCACATTTTTGTCAAGAGATGAAACCTGTATTTTTAAAATGAGGCTTTTTACATCTTATGATGTAGCTCAAGATGTCATCAACTGGCAGATTTGGGGTTTCCAACAAATCCCACAAAAAACCCTGCAAAATTATCTTTGTTTGCCCAAATCTCAGGCATTTCAAGCTGTTGATCTTTGAAGAATAAAAAACATACATCACTGCAAGAAGCTTGCAGTTGATTGCAAAGGTGCCTTTGTAGAATTGCATGTCAACTGCAAACAGTTGTGCAGCTTTTTCTTGCAGTGGTTATATTCATTGTGGATGATCTAAAGCCAAGCATACATTTTCCCTCCAGCCTTTACTTTATTGCACCTGATTTCAGCTCAAAAAAAGACCTCACCTTCCAATTGTGCTCTCTTCTGGTGGTGTGCTTGAAATATTTGTGATTTGTCGGATCCAGGTCTGAGTCAACTGACACTGAGTGAACAAGCCCAGGCCAACAATCACCCAACAGTTTTGATGAGTCTTGTTATTTGCTAGGAGCAGTCTGGTCCACAACCAAAGCCAAGTGAACTGTAGAAAAGACTCATAAAAACCTATACATACACAAAGAAAAAAAAAATCCAAGCAAAATCTGCCTAGGACACTGAGTGGCCAGTATTGAAGCGAGCAATTCAGGGGAAATCACGAAAGTATCCATTGCAGTCAACAAAAAAAAATGATGATAAGGTCAGAAGAATGATGATGAGTTGATAAGGATTGAAAGTAGAAGGCATCTGGATCAGGTGATTTTCAATGCCTCGATCGTCTGGGTTAATAAGTCATATAGACCATCTTCTTTGCTCGGTTTCTCTTTTTTCGAGGAGGCCGCTGTGGCGGTCCCTTCGGTCTCTCCAGTATGACTCTCCGGACCTTTCTCAACGATTTCTGGCGGCTGCATATCATGATCGACACTTGTAGCAGGAACAGCTGGTGGGGTGGGTTGAGTGACCTTTGACTGGGAGGATGAGCTTTCTGGATGCGAGTGCGTCGGCTTCGCGCTGGCTTCCTCCTCGTCTTCTTTGGTTGCAGCTAGCTGATCATTGGCCGAATCCTGTTCCGCGACGGACTTTTCTTCGACCTCACTATCACCATCGTCATCATCATCGGACGCCTGCGAGTTTTCGTCTTCATCTGTTGTTGGCACAAAACCACAAGAGATTCAGAGTAAGCAAGAGTGGTCCTCATGTACTCGATGAACAAAACGAGAGCAAAAAACAAAAATGAATGCCAAACCGACCATCAGACTCTCTTTCAATTATTTCATCAAGTTCATCCAATTCAGCCCCGTTCTCCCACGCGTCCAAAGCTTCCTTCATAGCACCCCAGATACCCGATAGCTCACCGGCGGCGTCCGCGTCTCCATAGTTATCGTTCAGCTCGACCTTTTTGAGCTTCGACCCGAATTCCTTGACATAGTCGACCAGTAATCCGACGACCTCTTCATCGATCTCACTTCCAGAAAGTTTGAGATGCTCGAGACCAGGATTGTTGCCTAGCTTGAGGGCTCTCGCAATCATAGCACCTCCTCGTGGCTTCAAGAGACAGTCGCCCAGATTCAATTCACGCAAGGCGCTTAGATGGGGCAGCGCGTTGGCAACAGCCTTGGATCCTTTCTCGGTAGCCGTATTGTCCCACATGTCTAGGACTTGCAATTTCGAGCAATGCGAGAGGCCTGCCATGATCGGATCCCAACCGTTGTTTCGGATATCGTTCTGGAATAATCGAACTTCGATCAATTCTGGGTGAACTTGAAACGCCTTTCCCCAGGCTTGAGTCGAGCCATTTTCGCATCGATTTCGACCACAGACGATTTTCCGCAATCGACTGGTTTGTCCAGCCTCTTGTGCTTTCATTCCTAGTTGATGCAATGCATTCGCAATCACCGTAGCTCCAGCTGGTCCCAGTCCATTATTCGCCAGTCGGAGTTCTTCTAGGGGAAGGTGAGACGACAAGAACGGCACCATCACGTCCACGCATCGGCCTCCGAAGGCGTTATCCGACAAATCGACGATCGTCAAGTTTTGAAGGTTGAGGAGTGAGTTGCATAGAGAGCCCAAAGATTGAGGGATTTCAGAAATCAATCTCCCGGTGAAAATATCAGCCAGATCAGCCTCCTACAGTATCCCCCGCAATAGAAGCATTTTTCTTGTCAATATCTCGATTTCCTTTGGTCAGGGTGAAAAACTCCGACAAAATACAATGCCGACAGACCTTGAGTTTCAGCTTGTCTTTCAAGACGATTCCAATCTGTTCGCAAGCGCCAACGCCGAACGTATTACCACCAAAGACAACGACTTGGACATCTTGATCGGCGATCAGTGGTTCAAGATGTGGACCGATTGCGTCGCCTGAATCGCATTTCAGACTTTGGCCCTTGAGGGAGAAGACTGAGCTTGAAGTTGACATTCTTGGGGTGGTTTCTCTGGTTTGCACACCGAACGGAATTTAGTGTCGCATACAACAAGTCCTTTGCGCGAGCTCCGATTCTGCCTTGACTCTTAAGGCTGAGCGGTGATCGTGTAACCGTGTTTGGTGCGCGAAGAAAAGCCCACTTTGCTTGTTTTTTACACATCTTCAGTTAACTCCGTCCCACAATCATAACAGATGATAAACTTGCTAACACAATTCACAGTTATGTATGTACCTGCCTGAGTTTGAAATTCCAAGAAATTTGTTTTGATTCCAATTAGACTGGTGGCTTTGCCCCTTCCAAGGCCAATGATTCCCTGAGCAATTTGATGCTTTCCCTTAAAATTTTGCCTTGAAGCAATGTTGTCTCACTGGTCCACTTCTCACATTTAAATTTATGAATCTCCATCTATTCAAGATCCAATGGATGACTTCCCGTCACAATCTAGAACCCTCCCAGAATCCAATTTACACCCCCTAGATCTTAATTTTTGGCCCAAAAAATATTTTTTAGAAGCCTTGTAGAAACCAGTCTCATGTGAGATGGTTGAAATTACGAGTGGGGTGTTAATTTAGGACTTGGGAGGGCTTAAAAAGCACTCCAAATGGTGACGGGAAGTCCTCCAATGCCTACATCCTTCTACAACATTCTGCTGAATGCAGTTATTTATATCTCTTTCTTTGCTGCTCTTTGAGGCTTTCCTTGGCACAATGCTGGTCAACTATAAGAGAAGAAAGCAACTGGGGACTATTCTTGACTCCTCTTCCATAATTTCAGCCAAAGTTGTGCATGGTTTTGAAAGACTAATGCCATGTGGGGTTGAGTAGACAACCATTGGGATAGACTGATCATCTGCCTCCAGCCATTTTTTGCTAACAATACACCCAAGTCCTTTAATTTGTCAATTTTGAGATAAAATAATCTTGCCTGTTTCAAAATTGCCATAGAGTTAAGAACTAAGGGCCAGTAACCATAGGGGGAAAAAATTCAATTCTTCAGAATTTATCTTACTCAAATCTCCACTTTTTGGCAAATTTTGTGTAGAAGGCAAAAAAAATGCCAATTTTTCAAAATTGAATCCCCCAGTACTGGCCCTACTTTTTTGGCATCAAAGGCAATCAAAATTAAATTTCTGTTTCTCTCTTCTTCCAAAACAGCCTCAAAGATTTCTGTCAAGATTCTCCTCTTTTCTGTAATCTATAACCTCTCCTGATCCTAATTTTAGGTCAAACCAGTGTCAACTCAAATGAATGATCAGTGTTTCATTGCATCATCAGCTGTAAAACAGCAAATATGATGCTTTGAGCTGTCCAGTGTCCTTGTGAGCAGCTTCAGTATTGATAAGAAAAAAACAAAAAGCTTGGAAATGTGGCCAAAATAGCAAAGAATGTTTGGCAGTGAGGTGAAGAATGTGAGATGGGCCACAGGTTAATTACAAGGATTGAATCTGGTTGAATCTTCTAGTTTGTTTTGGTTCATTGTGTGGCTTGTTCTGTTGCATCACCACAGAGTCAATTATCCAGGGGTAACCCTGTGAAAGGAATGCTTGTGGATTTTTTTCGGGATTGGGCCAAAGTTCCTTTGATGCGAAACCTTTAATTAATTTGTTCTTCCTTTCCAGGGTAGTTAAAATTGGCGAGGCTGCAGATTGAGAGCAAGTCATCCATCACTTGCAGCTCTTCCTGACCATTTTGATTCCCCAAGTCGAACAACAGTCAAAGAAGCATGGTGACGTCATTCCCGGCCAACACGAAATCTCCAATCAGGGCTCCACATCTCTTTGGGAGGGCTGCATGCCCATCCACCCGGAGTTGACTTCTGTTGACCTACCACACACACTCTAATAAAACCTTCTATCGGGGCCTTCAAGCAACGTGTCGTCGCACGGGCATGAAAAACACACACACGTAAATATTTGAGATATCCAACCTAAATCACTGTGTCTTATTGCCCGAAATGACTGACTTGACCGATCTGGGTATCTACATACAACAACTCGGGAAAAATCGATCATTGTTTACAACTTGAGAAAAAAAATCTAGGGTACAAGCAGACGAGAAAGAAGACACAAACAACGGTTCCTTCAAGGTATTGTTCATAAGATCGTTAAAATTAAAAAAAAAAAAGAAGCAAGAAACGGAAGGAGTGGAATCCAGTTGGGTAGTTCCGCGAGATATTCGGGGGGTTACGACAAGGGTTTAGCCTACGAGGGGGGAATACTTGACGATGAAGGTGACTGGCGTTTGACGAGAACGGATATAATCTAACCTCCGATGACCAAAGCTGGGGTCTAGGGCGCTAAGAGGTTGGATTCCTTCGGCTGTCTTCACGGGTGGGTCGATTGTCCGGACGCGGATCTTGAGTGTGCAGCGCTCGGCCGGCGGGGCTTCCTCCTCTGATGCAGAGGTTGGTTGCCCGGAATGCTCTTCGGATCCTCCGACCGGAGCAACCTGTTCGTTGGTCTCGATTAGGGTGCATCGGCAATTGACCTGCTCGACGATCTTCTTGACCTGCGCACTCGCGTTTTCGACCAACAAGTCCCAAAACGCCTGATCGCCACACGTCCATAAAGCTTCCTTGGTGATTGTGCCTTCTTTCAGGGAGAGCCTGATCGCATCGGCAGCCAGCTTGTAGAGATACGATTGAGCTCCGTCCGCCCACACTTTCTGGTCACTCATCAGGTAGGCTTCTGCCAGTTGTTTGGCTGCTTCGGTCGAGCTGAGCACCATCTTCCCGTCAATCGAAATCGTCGAACGATAGATCTCTTGTGCATCCTTCAGCGCAAGATATCCAAATGAAACCGAATCTCTTAACGCATAATCAAGTCGGTCGGCACAGATTTCAGGGCTAGGTAGCTCAAGCAATGGGAATAGCTTCTCCTCAAAAACTGGTTGGTAATCGAAATCGATAACGATCGCCGCATTTAACATATCAAGCACAATCACAGTTGCCAGTTGGTTAATTTAATTGAATACGAAGAGGGAAAAAAAAAGCAGAAACGAAAAGCTGGCGCACCTCTCTCCGGATCAAAACCATGTTTCTGCAAGACGTTTGGAATTTGAGTCTTATCCAAGAAATCTCCTTTTTCAACCCTACCAACAAGACGAAAAAAAAAAATCCGTTCAGCTTGCAATCTTACGGGTTCTTGCTTTTGGGTTGAAAGTACTACACACTCATGAACGACATAGCCAAAGACTAGATCGATTGAACAAAATTATTAGAAAATCGACAAAAGTCGGTCAGCAAATCCCAACTTAAGAATAATAATATTTTGGAGGAACTCACCTGAATCAGTGACATGACTGAGTGCTGTATGACTCACGTCATCTGCGACAAAACAGCAAGTTGAGGGGGGAAGGAATTATGCATTAGATTTCCGATAGTTAAAGGTGAGGGGGACATTTGCTTACGTAGCAATGCAGCCAATTGAGCTTCCTCCGAGCCTCCGACATGCTTGACCAGGATCATCGCCCCCACGCTATGGTCGAATCGATTGACAGGGGGTGATGGAAGCAAGCCGATCAAGGCGGTGATGCCGTGTTGCAGGACGTCCTTGAGCCGCTGGAATTCGGGTAGGTTGATGATTTCGACCGCACATGGACTCTCGATTAACACTTTGCCGTAAATCAGGTCGTCGATCTCAATGCAAGCCGAGGGATTTGCATTCTTCGCAGATCCTTCATCGCCCGTCGTGCTGGTCAAGTTGTCGTCGTTTTCCAGAGGAGTGTGATTGATGGTGCCTATTTCCCTCAAGTTGAAGTCGAAGCCGAGATTCTGACAGGTAGAGACGGAAGCCATTTCCTTTAATGCTGGTGAGTAAAGTGCCTTCTTTCTCTATTCAAGATTTTCAATGTTGCGTAAGACTGGTATTCTTTGCTCGAGGTTATCGGTAGCAGTTCTTGATTTTCTGCTGGTGGAGTACTGATGGCTGATGAAAGACCACTTCGAAAACACGAGAGGACTAGGCTGAAGAAGGGTGGGGCGTTGAGATCATCGATTTATGGAGAAAGGAAAATGCTTTTTTTCAGTTAAAGCGTTCGGGGTCCGACTAAATCAAGCTGACATGACGGGATAGGTGGGAGATTTCTCAAAAGGACACTAAACTAACGATGGTCAGACAACGCCGAGCGATCGCTGATGATAGACTTTGTTGTGTTACGTGTGTGTTTTTGTCCGCTGTATGAATTGAGCTCCAATCAAGCCTTGCTTCGAAGGGCCACTCTGATCAATACAGATGAGACCTCGCCGCTGACTTGTAAAAGGGAACCGGTCCAAGATGCAAAAGAGAAGATTCGATGTGTACCTCGGTCGACCCTCGGCCCGATTTCGGTACAACATGAGTCATAACGAGTGGGTAGAGTGCCTTCCACCACAATGGCATCCCTCCTAATCTCGTATGTAGACCAAATCGATTTCATCGAAATTCGGCATAAACAAATGACGCACTTTAGTCCGAGTTTGCGTGTGGATCGGGTTCCGATGGTCTCGTCTTTGGAAGCCGATCCATGGAGAAAACTTCTACTCGCAAAGACAACAACCTCCTAGCCCAATACATAAATATTTAGTTTGCGATGGAGGAATACGATCAAGAGCAAATGAATAACCACATTCGGAAAACAACTCCTATCATCCATTTTGGTGAACTTGGGAAGGAGGCGAACCTAACTTGAAGTCAGATGACATCCCGGAGTCCGGCCAGCTCTTCAATTCGACTCTCCAGCCTTCTATCATCCACTGGAGGAAGCCCTCTGATTTCATCATCAACAGAAGACGACAGACTCTAGATACCACCTGCAGCACCCAACAAAGGCTATCAAAGGTACATATCTTGAAGACGAAGAACAAAACATTCCATCAACATCGATTTTTGCGGCTATGTCCTTTACTGGAACTAACGGCCCTTCAGGTTTACAGAAAGATTTGGCACTCGCTTACTGACCATGATCCATACATCAAACTGTTTTGAAGAAGTAGTTTCTTGCAATGCATCCCGACCGATCCCGACTTTTGCCCTGGACCTTTCTTGCAAAACGGCCAATCAATTTGGGTAAAAAGTCTGATATCAATGTCATTGAGTATTCTTCACGTTGCAGATTTGGCAAGTCCATCCTGGAAAAACCGAAGCAGAAAATCTGGAACATGGCACAGCACTGAGGTGATTGATTGGCTGATCCACTGCGGCATCCATCTTTTGTCTCACAATCCTGATAGACTGACCCTGATTAGTGGCCAACCAAAAAGTGTGTAGTCTTGTATGATAGGATGACCGAGTACATATTTAATTTGATTTTTGAGTTCATGATTTGGATGGTTTCCTAGGTAAATTGGGTGCATGGAGTGATGAGCCGAAGCTACAACAAGTCCGTTTACGGCTTCAAGTTGCACAAGGAAACTCTTCTCTCAAGATGAAAGAAAGCATCAATGCACTCGTTCTCCTAGAGACAACAAAAGCTACTTCAATATTTTGCTTATATATCTTGCCCGTCTTCCCATAGTCCTCAACCTCATTCCATTCCTCCCCGCTCGACACATTCCCCGAACATTACCTCACCACAACACCCACTTGCTCCAACTCATTTGTCCTCTTCACATCGTGTCGGTTTTTTTTTTTTTTTTTTTTTTTCATTTTGTTTTTACTTGTTCAAACAAGATATTTCAAGCTGCTTATGACCGTGATTTGAACCTATTTTTCTTTCCACATCCAGACCCTGATTTCGAGATACGAAAGACATCAAAGGAAAGTATGAACTCAGCACGATCGATGATTGCTTTGGCGACCATAATCTTGGCTCAGATTGGGCTTACACTAAGTGATGGTGGATTTGCTTGTCCCACAAATTTCGCTTATGGTGAATGCCAGTCGACTAGTTTTGCCACGGCTGATGCAGAACCGCAGCGTGAGTGAAATTTTCCAACCTCTGTAGCTAGACAAGTGTACTGATCATTGATCACGACGGGTAAACAGTTGCTCCAGCCTCCCAACCGAACCCCAGCAAGCGCCGTTTTGTTTGTCCAGCACTTACAACCGAAACATGGTGTTGCATCAAGTTTGAAACTCTTTCTGGGGTAAGTCGTCCAAGATTTTTCCTCCCGACCTCTTTAATTCTCCTGATCATCAATGTACTCACACTCCTCTTTTGATCTTGATTCTGCCGTGATCCTTTGAACCGTAGGATAAGGTGTACGAGTATACCAGGAAGGCGTGCAAGACGACTTAGGGATTGGGAAACCAGAGTAGTGCCATGTAATACATCAGTGGATTACTTCATTTTTGTTGCTTGACCAGAGTGTTATGTAGTTGTTTTCACATGGCACTTATCATCATACTAGATCCTAAATTTCTCTCAATGCCTCATTTTTACTGTCTCAACTGAACTGTCAAGTGTGATTTTTGTGTGGGCTTCAGCTATAAAAACCAGTTTGTTATTTTGTTACATTACTGGGGCGGATCACGTTCTATATCCTCTCCATCTATCCTCATGACGCTCAAGTTACAGAATAGTTGAAATCAGTTTACTCATCGTGTCTAGTTAGTATAGTAGACACTGCTGATCAAGCCTGTAAGAGTGCCCTCACATGCAGCAATTTCAAGCTACTTGTTAAGTTGCAGGTAGCTCGAGTGACTATTGTAAAAGCAAGTCATGAATTCATCTCGATTGATGATCAGTGCTTGGAAGTTGTTGTTGCTTCTTTTGACTTTGACCTCTCAAAAAGAAATCATCCCCGTCGGTAATGATAGTGAAGTAGATCGCGTCTCGCGATGTCAAATATGCGATCAAAATCAAAAAACAATCCGACAACGGCAGGATTTGAACCTACGCGGGAAAATCCCAATTGATGGTAGACAGAAGTCTTAGAATCACATTCTAGTCAATCGCCTTAACCGCTCGGCCACGTTGTCATGACGTAATGACGGCAAATGGAGAATACGTCGGCGGAGCTGTGTGAGACTCATTCACTCGCCTCTTCTTCTCCAGGACCCTCCTTCGATGATGTCGCTGACTACTTCAATCCACAACAACAACCGATTTGCTGGACAAGAAAAACTCAAGAACCATCTTCAACGCAACGGACCAGGAAACAACGCATACACCCATATCATGGTCAGTCTAACCAATCGCCGCTCTTCTCCCTACAAAAGCAAGAAGAACAAAGAAAAAGACTCTAACAGCAGACATCTTTCCGGTTTGAATGATCTAGTCCGCACAACAATCACAAGGCAAGTAACACAGTGTCTCGATCGACTCCTGACACCCATCCATCCTTTGATCCAGATTGATCGAACCATGATTTTCTCTCTCTCTCTCTCTCTTAGGTATCCAAGCCCTCTTGGACGCCGAGAAAGAAGCAGCCCGGATCGTAGAGAAAGCCCGGGAATGCGAGTCTTTGTTCTTCTGTCTAGATCCACTCCTCATCCACCTCAACTCATCAGACCCCCCTGGAACTAACCTGTTACGCTGTTCTTTTCTTGGGGGTCTGTCTCTGTAGATCGATCGCAGAAGTTGAAAGACGCTCGAGGAGAGGCTGCTAAAGAGATCGAAACTCTGAAGTCCAAACGGGAAGATGAGTTCAAGGAGTTCGAACAACAGGTTCGTTTATTACTTCTCTACTTCTTCAAACCTCTTGGATCTTTTCTGCTGCCCGTCTCAATACAAATCTATTGACTCGGAATTACTATCATTTTTTTCTGGGGGGGATCTGTCTTTTTTTGGAAAAAAATGTTATGATTTAGCATTCTGGTAATACTGACTCTCAACAAAAAGTTTTAGAAGAAGAGACTAAACAGAAAGTAAGTCATCGTGAAAAGACCCTCTCAATCGTATTCTTCATATCATCAAAAACCATCATTAAACCATCACTCTCCGCCCCCCTCTTTTTGCTTGGTTAGATTGAGGTCATTAAATCCGAGTTCAATAAGAATAAGGCTCAAGTGGTGTCTGATTTATTATCTAAAGTGACGGATGTTCAACCGGAATTACATCGAAATTACAAATTAGGAATCCATCAATTGAAGTAGTCATCATCCATCATCTTCTTCTTCCTAAAAACACCATTTTTTTGTTTTCCCTATTTTATAGTGTCCTTATTGGTGATGATGTGTAATATTGTACAAATGATTACTGCATTCTTTTCTTCTTCTACTTCCAATTGTCTTCCCCTTGTTCTTCAGGAGAATTAAACTTCCTCTTCTTCATCAAGATGGGCATTGTACTGTGTGTGTGCTAAGTGCGACTTGGTGACCGAAAGAAGTTTGTGTGGTGATGATGAGGGACAGATTCTTGGAGTGATTTCCTCTTGTGGTGTTGATCTGAGTTTAGTGTTTAATGTTTTTTTTTTTTTTGAGTTGGCTGAGTTTCAAGTTTCACTCACCACCACCACCCACTCTCCTCCAACCACACAGCACTCAAGAGACCAAGCCAAGAACCACAGCCCAAAACAAGCCAAAGCAGAAAAGATGACAAGCAAGACCAGAACATTGATCACCCAACTGATCCTCAACCAACAACGAAGAACTAACAACACCCTCCTCAACACCCCACCACCATCACTTCGATTCAAATCATCCGGTCAGTTCTTTCCCTCATCTAGCCTCACTCATCAGCTCACAATCACTCTCCTCTGTTTGTATAGGTTCATCAGGCGGAGGATCTCGTACACCGATCAAGATCAAAATCAATAAGAAGGATGCAGATCCTGGGGTCAGTCTACTTCCTTTCCACTTATCCCCGTTGATATCGATCCAACTAACCACTTTTTTTCTCCTCGGGTCCAATCGAACAAATTCAGCCCCGTCCAGGTCCCGATCCGGGGCAATTGGTCAACCTGGACTACATCACTCAACCTCCTATCAATCTCTCCGCAGTCCCAGATCTAGAGCCCGTTCGTCCTATCCCTCCGACTCTTAACAAAAAGCACGAGACACTTACCCTTTTTTTGCTTACGGTTAGTCCAAAATGACCAGCGAAAACGTCGGTAAATCGTTTAAATTTTCCAAACAAATGGCCAAAGCGATCGACACCTTTTCGATCCCTTCATCGATATCCAAAGACGTAAGCAAAAAAAAGAAAGAAAACCTCTCCCTACATCGCTTCTCTTTTAACCCGAACTCGTAATAATGGTTAATGAACGTAAACGAACAACTAAACTAATCTCGCTGTGTCTGTATGTGTATACATGTTTTCGTTAGTGGAAAGCAATGTCTGTGCCAGTGACAACGCTTCGAAAAGCTTCAGTCGACTTGATCTCTCGTTTAGCACAAGCCAAAAAATCAACTACTACCGATAAACCCAACGTGCTCACACTCAGTTAGTCCACCTTCTCTCTCTTCGCACAACCACAGATCTCCGACCTTATACTCATTTCTATCTCTTTTGTTGTTCGATAGATGGACAAGCTGGCACTGGGAAATCAGTTACCTTACTTCATGGGCTCAGCTATGCGGTCCAAAACCGGTGGATTGTCATATACATTCCCGATGGTACATTCATCCCTTTTATTATCTAGCCCCGATCCAATGGAAAAAGACACTAACCAAAGTTTTTTTTTTTTTTTTTTTTTCTAATCTACTGGATAGCCAAATGTGTGGTAGATGGACAATACAGTTACGAATACTGTCCTCGAACGGAGACGTATCACCAAAACAGTCTATCAGCAGAGCTCATTCGGAAGATCATCGCCATCAATGATCTCGAGGGATTGACACTAACGAAAGGATGCAAGTTATTTGGGACGAAGGATGATCGGATGGTCGATTATGAGGAAGAGATACCCGCCGGGACGGGGTTAAAGAACCTAGCACAGCTCGGAATTCAGATGACCCATCTGGCCCCGAACGTCCTGCAAATCCTCTTCGAGGAACTTGCGGCTCAATCGCAGAAACCCGTCTTCTTCGCCATCGATGGCGCTCAGAATCTCTTCAAACCCTCCGATTACGTCGACGGCTCGTTCCGAAAAATCGATAGTTTCGCCTTCAACGTCGCCAGACTCTTTTTAAACTTTGCTCGGGGCACTCAGAAATGGGTAAATCATTCTCCCTCTCTCATACACACAGAATCTTGCAAGATCATCTGATCGTTCTCTGCTTTCTTTGGGTATGCAATTGTAGTCCAAAGGACTCACCATTCTGAGCTCCTCATCTCAACATTGTCCGACGAAATCGTTGGCATGGGACCGCTTGATCAAGGACCGCCAAGACTCGATCGTCGATCGTGAGGCTTGGCCTGGCTGGGAGCATTACCAGAAACTCATCAAACCTATCCAGGCGTATCCTAACCTGGACGTCCAGAACTTGGACCGTGTCGAGGCTCTCGGCGTCGCTCAGTCCTTCGAACTCTCCCGCTTGGTCTTGGCTCGTTCGTCTCCTCTCTCTCTCTCTCTCTCTCTCCTTCCCTTCTACATTTAAGTATAAGTATACTGACTAAGTTTTTGATCCTTTTTTCGCAAAACTTTTGGATAACTATTATAGCTCTAGATGATCGGGTATTTCTTAGACATTTTATTTGTTCGAATGGGAATGTGAGAGAATTTACGAGAGAAATCAAAAATCAAATCAAATTATAGTACATAAATATTTCAATCCAAAATACATAACTCAGATGATTGCAGTAATTTTTTCGAGGGGGTTGAAAACGGTGGCTTGCTTGTCTACACATGTACACTGATCGATCGATTACACAGCAACGATGCTTTGGAGCTTGATGAGGCATGAGAATGCTCCCTGCTTAAGTTTATACACGCGTTGTTTGAAAACCGCGTGACTCGGACAAAGAAAGGCACGCCGAAGCTCCGAAAACAGAGGCTGCTGCCACATCCAGCATAGCATGGAGGGTGCAGCATGGCGGCTAAAGAACTGAAGAGATGCCGATATTGGATTCACCACACATATGATTGGCAATATGGAAGCTCAGAGTGAGCTGTCATCGTCCATCGAGTCAGGTGCACCCCATTTATTGTAACAGCATGTCTGAGACGACCGCATGGGATGGATACTCCATGGAAGCCAACCCTGTGCTTAATGGTTATCAGCATGTCTTTACTCTGGCCCCACAGACTCAGCAAAAGGTTGAATGGAATATTGGAGAAACACATAGACTAGTAGAGGAGACACCTTAGACCGTTTCAAGATGTTGACCGGGGACCTGGGATCAGTGCCCAACATGTCAAAGCCCGCAGATTTATCATTGGGTGGTGTCCGTTATGAGATGGCCTCAGAAAATCACCCTGGCCAGTTGCCTCGTTCTCATGCTCAGCTATATGTTCATTTGGGAGTCAAAAAAATGTCTTTCAAGTTGTTGATTTTGCTAGTAAAAAACAACAGACTGGTCGAGGTGGGTTTGGTTTACTTTGGACATCATGATTATGATTCGGAGGGATTTGGGATTTGTGATCTTCATTGGCAAAAAAAGGATATATAACAAATCATCTCATCATCCATCTTTTTTCACCCATCTACATATGTAAATCGGCATCCTGATTCCTACAACATGACATCCAAATTTTTTTTTTTTTTTTCAGTTTGGTCTTGTTTTTTGTTGGAATGGTATATTCGACTGGAATTTGAGGACTACATATTTAGATACCGATCGATCGATGACTCCCAAGTGGATCTCTTCCGCATAGCCGTGTAAAAAAGTCGTTGCATAGCTATCTTTTCCAATATGGCATGTGACCCGGTACAATGAGGCAGCTTGGATCGCAAATTCGGACCCTCTGTTCGGTAGGCTCGGCCTCCAGTCCATGTGTTGAACAACAGGTGGCGGCGCCCGATCCAATCTGCGGCCGGGGGCGCCAGTCGTGATAGAATAAAGCATTTCGGAATCCGGATTGCATCGGCAGGGAAGGTCGGGTGAGATGGGCCGTGGTGGCACATGGTGTGGCACCTGTTTGGCCCGTTTATATGTCTGTTCAGCCACAAATTTATAGATGGAGAATCCGAATGCGAGAATATGTACAAGGTATATGAAGTCAAGTCTGCTCGCCGGAATCCATGTCTGCCCCTACTCACCTTTACCAAAGATACATAACCACCCCGGAGCACCTTGCCGTCTAACCGATCAATTTATCCCACAATCCAAATTTCGAAAAAAAAAAAAAAAAAAACACGAAACAATGCAGATGATTTCTAAAGTCATTCTCGGCCTCTTCCTCCTCCAAGCAACTATCCTTGCCTCGCCAGCCTCGTCAAACCAACACGGCGAGATAATCTCAAACCAGGTAAGAGCCAAAGACCCCCACAAAGGCGACCCGATCCCCGACCCCAACGATCCGATGAAGAAGGGGTACCCGGGCCCACAATGTGTTGAAACGGAGTGCCTAAAAAACTTTCCGCACGCAAATCACTGCTGCACGAAACCTCCCCGAAATTGTGAGCATCTCTTTTTGGCCGTTCTCAATCACCTCATCTTGACTGTCAACTAGACACCTGGTAACAATGAACACATTGGTTGTGTGTGTTGTGTAGAGTGGTAGCAAAGACCGAAGATCGAAGACTGCCGGGTAGGACCCCCAAGTTTCAGACAAATCGGACCCCGATCATTACCTCAACCCCCACCCTGAAGCTATCGGCTACAGTACATCGCCCCCAGCCTGTCTCTCTAAGAATTCGAACTCGTTCCTGCCTCATTTTTCAGGCCTTGTTGCTTCCTCTTGCTCCAACCTTGTTGCAGTCTCTTTCTCTCTAGCTTTCTTGCTATTTCCTTCTCATGATGATCTACTACTCACATCAAGCGGACTACTTTGGCCAAGACTAAATTAAGACATTTGTATGATTCCTAGGATTGATAAGATACCAAGCTTGATGTAGTATTCAATACACGTCCCTCACTCTCCCAGTCTGAGCTTACCCTCCCGGCTTTTTTTTTTCATTGCAACATTCGATTTGTTGTGAGGGGGAACATCATTGGACCTAAGTAAAATACCCAAATTCGGAGGCAGGTCTGTAGGAGACTTTTAGCCCACCATCCCATGAAATGTGTTCAACTCTTTTATCAAGTGAGTGGGGAAATAAGAAGACTTCCTTCTTGAGCCAGCAGTCCCCTACCACTGATTCTTCACCTTAAAATTGCCTTACCCCCTTCTACTCACACAATTGGGGATTCAAAGCTTGCTTAAGTCTGTGAAGAATGCTTTTCAAGAGGCCTAGTGCAACAAAAATGAAAACCTATCTTTTTCCTGAACCCCCTAATTTCCTGCTTGAAAATAGGGATTCAAAAGAGGCCTTCCTGAAGCAGGAAGCTATAAAGTACTGAAGTCCATACATAAGTAGTGGTTAAGAGCAACTCCACTGTAGTCCTACTTTTGGGCTGTAAAATCATGATGATTGGGTCCACACAGCCATTTTTACAGTCTCAAACTGCTGCAGCATGCACCACAACTTGGTGGAGCAGTTTGTAGAAATTGATGACAGGTGTGCTTCTGAGGGGGGAGTGGTGTGTGAGGGTTGAGTTTCACATGTAGTTGTTGTGTGAAAGTGGCATTCTTAGGCAGTAGAGGAGTACCTAGGAGTTCCTAATGTGAGGACTCAAGAGGACAATTTACAGACTGCCAGAGATTTTAGCAACTGTGGTGGGTTGTGTTCAGGATGTAAATGGGTCGGGCCGGCCCGGTACCAACCCGAGACCCGTCGGGTTTTGGGCCGGGTTTGGGCAGCCTACACATCCAAAAATCAATTCCTGACCCGACCCGGGAAGACCCGGTACATAATTGGGTTCGGGTTTGGGCAGGGGTCTCTTATTTCGGGCCGGCCCACGAACCCGGCTCACAATTTGTTTTGGACAAATTTCAGCCTACAACAGCCGCTTGCTAGACTACTGCGGCACAGTATCATTAAATTTCCTACTCTGGCCATACTAGCTAGATGAATATTGATGAGTCCGATGACTTCAATTGCATCGGAGTCGGCTTTCTCCACAGGCGGCAGAATCCTCAACGATTACAGAACCAGGATGAAAGCCGACACACTCGAGGCACTGGTGTGCGCCCAGGACTGGATCCGTGGCGATGTAGGAATCCATGATGATGATCAGGAGGTTGAAAACGATGAGATATTAGTAATCGAATGAGATATGAGGCAGTCGGCCCCCAACCCTCCCTCCCCCCTCTTTTCTCGCTTTATGATTTATCGGTATCCCCTCCTTTTCTCTATGTTTTATTTTTTTATTTTATTTTACTTTTTTCCTATTTTTTTTACTATCCATACATGATTTCTTTTTTTCTCTATTATTCAAATATGAAAAAAAAACTTGGTTATCGCAAAAATTATCCGGGTTCAACCCGGACCCGACCCGGACCCGACTCATGGAATCCGGGTTCGGGTTTGGGCACAAGTTTCCCAAATTTGACCCGACCCGGCCCAACCCGTAATGCTCCCCGGGTCGGGTTTGGGCACTGTTTTCAGACCCGAACCCGGCCCATTTACATCCTGAGGTTGTGTTGAGTCTGTAAATTCCACCTACAAGTATAGACCTGATTTATGGATTTATGGCCCACAGTGGATTTGCTCTAACTTCAGATTGTTGTGAATACTTTGAATTCAAATTTTGATCAAACAATATCGGACAAATTTGGACTAATTTGAAATGTCATTTTGTAATATTCTTGGTGCACTTGAAGTGCAGTGGGAAAGCTGCCTTGGCCTTTAGCATGGAGTAAAAAAACAGCAAATGGTTGACTTTCCAGCCAAATTGACCCCTATTTAAGGATGTGCCCCGAATGTGGGCCCCGGGGTCTTGCCCCGAGGTGTGACCCTGGGGCTCAGGGCATTGGGATGAGTCTTGTGGACACCCCGAACCCCGGGGCGTCAACTTTTCTTGCTTGGATATGGATTTCACATGATCTTTTTGGGGATTTTATGTTTTTTTGGTGGTTGGAGGCATTAAAAGTTGCTCCTTGGGTCAATGAATTTGCCTAAACGGTCCTTTGGAGGGGAAAAAAGAAAAAAGAAACTGAGGAAAGGATGATATTGGACTAAGCAACCCAGAGAAATGGGTCTGGAGGCCAATTATTTGGCTCTCAGAAAAAAAAGTCAGGCCCCGGGGCATCTTCAGGGTCTGGGGTTTGGGATGACCCTCATGCCCCGTCCCAAACCCTGGGTCACACCCTTACTTCACTCGCTGTAATCAACCCCATAGTTGCACTGATGCCCATGAATACAGTTGTGGATGGCATAAACCAACCCTGCCCCACCCGCAAAATTCAAAATTGACATGTGGGGCCTATCCCCGGGGGGGGGGGCATATACCCTCACACTCAATTTTATTGCAGTTTTGGACTTGTACACATGTGTAGAGCTCAGAATTGTAACCACTAAGCCTCTGCACCAGCAGTTCTTGTTTTTTTTTGCAGCATGAATGTATTTGGACATGCCTAACAAAAGTCATGCCTAAATACATACCTATGGGGTTTAACCATGTATAATCACGGGGTTATACTTTGTAGGCTCCTCTATCATACCTGTAGCATCTATCGTATGAATCAGTGAATGCTCTACAGTATGTTCCAAGCATTTCAAAGGCTAAAAAAAGCCTGAAATTCTAAAAAAAAAAAAAAAAAAAAAAAAACAGAAAACAGAAAAAATCCTGATTTTTGGCTCACCAATTTGGACATCCAAAAAATCCTGGGTTGGTCTATGCCATCCGCAACTGTACACAAACTATGTTGGCACTTTTGCCTTTATGAAGACATCTACTTTCTCCTCTACCCCAATCAGCAGTCATCTTTTGGGTGAAATTTCAATTGTTTCAATGGTTTGATGTCCACACACCACACTGATACTGTAGCAAAAGAGTCAAAACCAAGTAATTTGTCATGAGTGGGGTTCACAATAGTGTATTTCACTTCTTGAATGCATTATCAGCAGTGCTGCGGTTTCTTGCACAAGAAGAAATTGCTTCTTGCAAGAAGCTATCTTGTAAGAAGCTACAAAGGCATCTTACTGTACAGACCTGCCTGCAAAATAAAATTTCATGCGCGGGCCTGATGTTTACATGCATGAGTGCTAGATAGAATTGGGCATTTTGAAGGTTGTAGAATCCAATTCTAAAAGGGCTAAGGTTTTTAGCCAGCCAATTTTTATTTTTATTTTATTTTACACTGCCCAATTACAAACATGCCACCTAAATCCATAACCTGAGTACATATACATGGCCAAAGGTGTTGTAAATCCATACCTATGCAATCAGGAACCCACCTAAACCCATGGTTATTAGGTTTAGAGCCACTCTCAAACCATGGTTTTGGTGCCCAGAGCCCACCTTAGTGTCTTTAATGGGGGAATAACATCCCCTTGATGAAAAAAAGAGTATGCAAAGCCATGAAAAAGCAGCCTCACACCATTTCAACCTGCTAGGAATAAAAAAAATCCGGGAGAAAAAAAAATCCATTTTTTTTTATTTCTCAAAGTCTGAAATTACGAACAGCTGGGAAATCCTGTACAGTAGGATGCCTTGCGCAGCTGTACCATGAACGTGATCTTGATTCAAGGTTGAAGGCCAATTTATGTGGAATGAAGACTGGCTTCTGTGTAAGTCGACTCTGTAGAATCATTGATCAACCTCTGTCAGTCCCTCCTACTACAGCAGTTCCCAGAAAGCTTGCTTTCTGGGACTGGTCAAAATCACAAAAAATTAAAGAAAATAAAAATCTTTTTTAACGCCTCTGGGTCATGTATTTCTCCCTGTAATAGTATGTATGACCACAGTCCTTCATGTGACACAGCCGAAATTGCTCATTTTTGGAGTTGAGCATTTGGGAGTAGGACCGTTCCCAGCACCTGACTGGTTGCCTGAGCCCCAACGAGGCCTCGGCAGCGTAATCAGAACCTGTACAGTGATGTGTACAGGTTGCGAGGCACAAAAAAAGTTTTTTTTATTTTTTGAGATTTCAACCGGTCCCAGAAACGAACTTAACACAAGGTCCCTCCGAGCGAACTTAACACAAGGTCCTTCCGAGGAGGTCGCGTAGCGACCTCCGAAGGAGGGACTTGCATCCAAAGTCACATATCTCACCCTACGGAGTCCAGCCATTTGGCTGGAAGTAACTCCCCCTTCCCCATAGCACCCACTAGCACTCATCTTCTCGTTCCGCCTCTGGTGCCATTAAATTTACAAAATTCATAGGATAATTTACAAAGATTCCAATAGTTGAATTAATTTTCATATTTTCCAATTTCTTCCAATAAATCTGGGTTCGTGTGGCCCCTATTCGTGCCCATAGTAACATTCTGTAAAGATGGGCGCGTGTGGAAAATATCTGTAAACAATCCGGCTTTCTCAAGGCCGGATTGTCCACCAAAAATATCTGGCAATAAATAAATACTTTCATAAAACATAGTATGGATATAATATGAGTAATGTATTAACCAGGACTTCAAGTATTGTTTATCAACTTAAAGTTATTTTTGTATATTGCGTTAAGTCCAAGTCGATCAAAGTCCTCCATTATGTACGGCGAGGATTCATCAATGGAAGACATACTACCACCATCATCAACAGAGTCATCACCATGTCCATCGGAACGATCAGTTTCTCCGACTGAAGACCCAGCTCCTTCACTATCCCTAGCCGAGAAGACACTGGAAGTATGCCGACTGCTCAAGACACTTTATATGACACCAAAATCGTTCATCATGGCGTTTCTCAACGTGGACGACTCCGACCTTGTGTTCCGCCGACGTTATTGGGGCGCCCAAGTTGGCTGGCCATCGACATACGAACTGCTCCAAGCAATAAAGAAGCAAGTGACCAAGACACAAAAAGGCAAAGCCCGTTGGCGTGAATTCATCCAGAGAGAGGTGCGCCCTTTTTGATTTTTTGACCAGTTGAGATCTTTGATAGTTCCTGACATTGGCAAGCAATAAACAGGCAGTTGAAGCATTGAATCGAGAGAAACCTCCTTCTGGTAATTACCCCAATGGATCTTTCCAAAGTAGTCAAACGGTTGATCCATCTTACTTCAATCATGATGCTGCCTGCGCCCGAGAAGAATTGATCTCGCAAGTTCACATGCCTTTTCTCTTCAACATGTTACTGGGAACTCTTCAACCTTCGAATGAAGCCAAAAATGACGATCCTCATGATGATTCTCCCGCTGAGCTCATTCTCCAAGATCCCGCCGAACAAGAATTATTCGAAATGGTAGAATTAGAGTACCAGCCAGTTGCGGTTGCACCTTGCCGATTCAAAAAGGTAATATCTTTGCTCATTCCTTATCCTTTCATTTTCATTCAAACTAATATTTTATGATTTGATGAAGATTGCAGCAACCATTTGCTCAATGGTTGCATTTGCAAAGAACAGGCGATGCAACGGATTACAGCTATTCAACAGCATTCGCTTCACGGCTGGCGGCGTCTCGGAGCTTATAAACGATTACTTGCATTTGATCGGTTTAACCTCTTCTCGTCAAACGGCTCTCAAAGCTCTTATCTCTTCTTCAAACCGTGCTTCTGGTGTTTTGAAAGATGCAATGTCTATCGAGAATTCTTCTCCAGTTGGACCTAGCATCTGTATTGACAACTTCGATATAGAGGAACATGTTCATACTCAATCTGTGGGCCATAGAACCATGATGTTTCATGGCACATGGGGATATATCCACAAGCCTAATCCTTCACTCCTGAAGACTCTTGATCATTCGGAATTGACACTTGAGGCTTATTACCGAGCTTTGAGAAAAATTCCTTCCTTCAGGATTGTACCTAGTATGTTTTTACCGACTCGTGAGGAAGACCGGCATTTTGAAGCAGTCGTGAAAAGTCAAATTGCACGTGTTATGCAACAGTACATTGCGAAACCAAACAACAAGCCGAATGCAATCGCTTTGGATCCACCACCGATTGAGCTGATTGACTGTTCACCACCTGATATCCACACTCTCAAACTGATGGATGCATCAGATAATTCAGCCGAAGGTGTTGGCCAAGTTATTGAATCAATAATAACTCAATCTGGCCTCACACCTGAGGTGTTTTGCTCTCGACTTCAAGTGATGGACGGCGACTTGGGGACGTGCCAGAACATCAACTCAATTCGGGCTCTCAGATCACCCAGTAGCTATGCAGAACACTCTTTGCTCAACATCACCATGCAGCTGGGTTCGGCTCACACACTATGGAATATATCTCAGAATATCTTGACATCTCACTTTGGTGATCCAACAAAAACGAACGATTTGGGAGCATGGCAATATTTGCATGCGCTGGGGCTCCCATCTGACAAGCCTGCTTCCAAGAAAGACTTCACTTCGATGATGAAGAATATTGAAAAAATACATGAGGCAACTATCTTTTACTGCTTGAGGTGAGAGTTTCAGAAATTATTCCAAAAAATATGTAATAGGTAATCTTATACTCCTTTCTGTAGGGTTGTCATGCACCAAGAACGATCTCCAGTTAGCGAAGAAGTGGGAAATCTCCCAACTCCCGACTGGAACAACATCATTGAGCAGTGTTACGACCGATTTTTCTCTCCGAGTGCCCGAAGGGCTGTGACAAAAGAGGATTCGCCCAAATTGCATGCAGTCTTAATCCGACTTCATGATTTTGCTACTATAGTGGAGGCGAGCCGTGCAATGAAGGCAGGCGATATCGGTCGCTTGATGAATATCTGGAAAATATGGACTTTCATGTCCCAAGCTCTCACTGGCCTAGTCAACTACCGATCGTACCTTCCCCGGATGGTTCTTCTCTTGACTCAGATACTCCCCGAAGATCTCAGTAAATTTATCCGTCACTCTCTTCTTATTTCCCCAAGTGGTCGGCCCAACCACTTTGTTGCAAAAGACTTTCATCTTGAGTGTCTTAATTACTGGCTCAAGTTCTTTTTCAATCGGAGTGGGGTAGGCACTCAGATTACTCGGCTTAAAGAATTGTTCTCTTTGAACATGAACTTGGTCAGGCATTTTCAACATAAGTCACTTAGTTTTTCTCAGTTACTCACGTTCATGATAAAAATATAGATTCGATCGATGTTTGAAAGCCTCAAGCTAGAAAAAGGTACTCGGCTGATTCATCAATCTCACAAGAATCGCATCACTACTCTCTCTTTAGAAAACTTCATGCGCATGGCACGTAACAATGACATATTGGATCTATATCCTCCAAAGAATAAGGAAGACACAATTCGACATCAAGTCCCCGATTGTGAAGACACCTTGCATGTAGGGCTTCGGAAACTACAGGATGAAATAAGCGGACACGATCCAAATTTGAATCGCCTCAAGTTGCATTTCATGTGGGAAGCTGGGCCTGGGGAAACAAATGCAAGCCTTGTTCAAGAACATCCAACGACTGTAGATGATGAGACTGTTCCCAACAATGAAAGACCCGACTCACCTTTTGAAATCTAAGTACCTCCTCCAGCTACTCATCTAAGTACCCCTCTCCGTCGGCTCCAGCTCCTCAATTGTTTCGATTCGTTGCGATGATGAGGAACGAACCCGAGACTCTTTTTCAGCTTCAAGCCTTGCTTTTTTGTTTGCTCGGTATCGGGCTGCATATTCTCTCCTCTTCAGCTTTCTCCTCTCCTCCGCCGATTGCTCGCCTGCAGTGGCCGATTCTAGCAAGCTTTGGTCGTTCACCGAATCCGAGCCACCGGTGTATAGCACACTTTGGTCGTTCACCGAATCTGAGCCACCGGTGTATTGGTCGAACAGTTGCTCTGGGCGCTTGGCGAGAAGCTGAGCTCGTTTATTTGCACGGTATCGGATTCCATATTCACGTCTCTTCTGTTTTTTCAGTGCTTCCGCTTCCAGTTGTAAATCTCTACAACGATCCATGTGTTTGTGATACATCGGATCGTCTCGAAACTTTGAAATAGTATCCATCAATAAATCTACTTGTCCATCTATAGTCTCTCCACCGATGATAGTATTCAAATCATCACTCTTGAGAATGTTGGGAAAGTTAGTAATTACAGCGTTCGCGTGGTGTTCGTTAAAGAGTTCAATTGCTGTAAAACGACCCGAAGTTCCCATTCTATCCTCATAAAAGTTCTTAAACACATTGATCAAATGTAATCGGAAGGTGGCTGCCAGTTCTAAGTTATCTGTTAGCAAATCCTTTTGCACAGATCGACTAGTTCTTTGTTTTGTAATAGACTCAATGATAGGAAACTGTGCGCAATCCATCAGGGCATCGTCAAAGTTGTGTTTATTCAAGTTCTGCAGATTCTTGATGAGAGTATTGCCTTCCTCATCCAAGCAGTTGGAGCAACGACATAGGGGAAAATTCAAAGATTGTTCTCGTTTGACTTCGGTTATGTAATTTGGATCGTCCTTCGAAACAGGTATGTACCCATATTTGTTATCCATTGAGTATAAAGCCACTCGGAGACAGACAGGTGTAATGGCAAGGGCATCCATGCGGTCATCGTCTGATTGCTGGGTCGCTTGAGTAAAGTCAGTGGGATGATTCTTTCCCCCTTTGCGATTGGACTCCATGAAAAGAATTGCCAGTCCGCCTTTACCGTCTCGCCCGCATCTGTAAATCAGGCAGGATATTCTCTTAGATCAGTCTATTTCGCATCGCACAGACTGCTATATTCAACAGCTTACCTGCCTATCATCTGGCAGATGTTTGCTGGATCACCTCTGCCCATATGAATCACGCACCGCACTCTTTTCCAATTTTGACCTAGCCCCAGCGCCATTGTGGCCGATATGATAGGAAAACGCCCCTCCGAAAAATCGCGTACACAATCCTCTTTGTCTTTAGCACCCGTGGATGAATGATAGCGCCTTGCAAACATGTTCTTAGCATTGCGACAGGCATCTGGAGTTTTTCGGGCCATGTCCAAGACCTCCAAAACAGTAAAGGTACGAGCTCGTGTGCCGCTGTAGATTAGTGTAGGAACCAGATCCTCAGTTGCTGTCTGTTCAATCGAGGGGAAAGCAGTTAAGAGGTCCAGGTTAGACTTCAAAGAATATGACATGTTGATACGGATAATTCGAATTTCCTTCCGAGTCAGCTCGTCATAGATCATTTTTATCAGATCCTTTGTAAGTTTAAGACTTCGCAAAATGGCATCGACAGCAATGCGGCGACATGTAGCCGAAAGCAGAAGGATAGGGATGTTATTTCTGCATTGTAGATGGCGAGCAAGATCTCCGTAGGATGGTCGAAATATTCCTATGTCTTGATGTCGTACTAGAATCGAATATTTGTTTCTTCCGCTAGAGCTTTCAACAAGGCCCCATATGTAAATCATATGGGCCTCATCGACAACAACAAGGCCAAGTCTTTCTTGGAACGCTGGGCTAAAATAAACCGAATCCCAAAGCTTGCTATTGAGAAATATCTCGGGACTGAGGTACACAAAATTGTACACACCGGACTTGATTTGCTCGGCAACAAATGGGTTGAATGTGAGCTTTGTTAAGTTTATAGCAGTAAATTTTCCCTTCTTCTCTTCAACTTGATTATCACCCAATGCATCAAGTGGGTTTAGAACCAGCACCACAGGCTTTGATTTGGGTGGCAAGGTCTTGAAATACATCTCGGCGATCCTCGACTTTCCAAATCCAGTGCCTGCTAGAAGAAAAGCACTCTTCCCTCGCGCTAGAGTTGCAACCGTCTCAACTTGAATTGGCTTTGGATCTTGGCCGTTATAGTCGTTCTTTGCTCGAGTAGCAATCTCGGTCTTCAGTGCATCGTCTTTTTTTTCGAGCAGTTTCTTCAGTGGCGTGATTCCTGTGGTTGCTTTCTGGGGGCTAAGGCTAGCTTTTGGTTGACCTTTCTTTGGCCGTATCATCTTCGTGTTTGGTTTTGTTATGTCAAGGTAGGTCTTATCTTAAGCTCTCTTCAAATTTCTCTTGTACTCTGCATTACGACCTATGACGACCCTCATTCTTCTTTTGAGCGCTGTGAGAACTAAATGCCAGCCAATTCAAGCGACTTTCTATTGCAAACCGGATACTATGTATTTGCGTTGAATCCGACAGAAACCCGTGAGAGGGTCCAAGATCTGATGATTTCGGATCAGAAATAAGATTTTTTTTTACTTTGCAAAAGTTCCGATCATTGCTGGCTAAAAACACAGGAGGAAAAGTGGTTTGTGGAAGATAATTTACAAAATTTGACGAGCTGAGAGCTGAGAAGGAAGTTCACATTTTGTTCTACTCAGAATCGTGTTAAGATGAATGATGTATTTTTAATTAATTTTCAAAGTCAAAAAAATGCATTTTTTCATGTAAATCTCATTTACGTAGTGACACTAGAGGCACTTTGGAGGTAAGCCTCTCCTTCGGAGAGCATCCCTTCGGGATGCGGGGTCCCTTCGGGACCCGATTGAGAGGCTTATGTTAAGCTCGTCCCAGAAAGCAAGCTTTCTGGGAACTGCTGTAGTTGAGTGGTGGAATATTAACCGCATTTTGCCGGCTGGAGTCAGGAGAGGGTCCCAAGTGGGCAGCACCTGCCTCCCAATGATACGTTAGGGACAGCTGTGCAAGTGCATGAAGTGGGAGAATCTCCCAGAGGGTTGTTCTTCGACACGGGTGCTGTCAAATGCTGCAGGACCGGGATGCCCCGCGCAAATGCATTGGTAGTGGGTCTGTAGATAAAGCAGTGTCAAACAGGAGACAACTAGGCACAAGACTCGATGAGATGATAACGAGAATGAAAGGGGTGGGATTTCAGTTGATACTGGGGCATATGTATTATCACTATCATAGGACATGTTACAAGTGTTTAGTTCATGTTGCGGACAAGTTGGTTAATGTAGTGTTCCCGCTTTCCACTGCCAATTGGAAACATATTGCACAAGTTAGCATGTCATAGGGTATTTCAAAGGGTAAGGCGAACTCAAGACTTACGCATCACCACCCTCAACGAAAGCCGTGAACTTCCTGGCTCGGAACCCAGAGGTAGGGTTGCTCAGGTGGAAGGGGTAGAGGAAGTTGTTGACTTGTTTGAAGTTAGGTCCGACAGTGATGATCTCGTGGACAATGTCCTCGATAGAGATGATACCGTACTGGCCGAGGTGCTTCTCGATGATCGCGTTGTTGTCCAGAGGGATTCGCTGCTTGTTGATCTTTCCGTAACCTCGCTTGTAGATGAGTTCACGAACAGTCTTCAAGTTGGGCTCACTGTGAGATGGAGTGATGGGTGAGCAGACAATAACAGACAAAGCCGAGGATTGAGAGAAGGAACAACTAACCCGTAGGTAACGTAAGGTTCAACCAATTGAAGCATTTGAGTGGTAGCTCGGGTGACTTTGATGAAGACACCATTGTTGATCTGGAGCAATCGTAGAAGCTGGAGGATCTTTCGTGGCTTGGGGGCGATTTCGTTAATACTGGACAAAGGATCGAGGAAGGGATCGAGGATTAAGTGGTGAATTTCGATCAGCTCTTGAATGACGGAAAGGTGGCCTAGCTAGCCCAAGCAAAGGACGCACCCCCTCAGCCTGATAACGAAATAGACCTTGGGCTCAGATGGGACAAAGAAGTCTCCAGAGGCCTGAGGTGCAAAAGAAAGTACAAGTCAGATGGTGGTGCTAAGTCGATGACGAAGTGCACGAGGTGAGGGCTTACTTTGGCTGCTCGACGGAGGCGGATGGCCTCACGTTCTTTCCTCTTGTATTCGATGACATATTGCTCGGCACGCTTGAAGATTACCTGTCTTTTGGCCTTGCTGGCCTTAAAAGTACCAACATGATGAGTCAGTTAAATGTATGACATTGTAAGTCTGTGCAAATAACAAGAGGGTGGTAGGTTTGGGGTGTATTGTTTGTAACTCAGACCCGAAAGATGGTATAATTGTGTCATGATATCAGCATAGCGTTTTACCGCTCAGCAATTTGGGTATAGAATTTTGACATCATAGTTACGAGCGGAATTGGAAAAGGATGGAGTTGTGGATTGATGTGTAAGATCTTACCTTGCGGGCTTCGATAGCTTTGGTAAGCTTCTCCTCGCGGGCCTTGTCATTAACTTTGCGTTTCTTCAGCAAAGTTTCGGGGACCAGCACATCTTGCGGAGTAGGGACGGTACTGTAAGAACGATTCCAAGGAACAATGTCAGATGAGGGAGCAGTGGGGAGGAGGATAGCAGGGAAGGCTAACTTACGTTGAGGCGGGCATCTTCGTTCGATCGGCTGCTTGATGTGCTTGATGAGGATGAGGGGTGGGGCGGTGGAAGGAGATATATATAGTGATAAACTTTGGCTGGACCGGGTGTCACCAGAGGAGGGTTAGGTTTCAGCCATACCATTTCAGGTGGGCGGCTGAAATATGAGGAAACCTAACCCGGCCGCACCAACTGGTACGCAGTCTGGATTATCCGGCTGAGAATCATCCTGTCGGCAAGAATTATCCGGCCCAACGACTCGTCGAACACTATCTACTATTTATTTGCGCATTGCGTGCTTCGTCGGCGACAAGGTTCCGATCCGTGGCCTCGGGGTCGGATCTTGGCTATCCCAAGATCGTTCCGGAGGTAACCTGGGGCCTCGGATCAAGGGTTAAAATTCTTTTAGAAATGTGACCCAGTGGGTGCTTGTCACCACATGCCATTTGTCCAATGATCAAGAGAACCTACAGCTCCAACATCATCAACTTCAGCAGCAATCTCAAGCCCCAACCCCATTGTGTTGGTTATTAGGACCTAGTGGTCAGGGCAGAGCCTCTGGGAAAAAGTCCTTGGATGCTTTATAATTGGTTTTGTAATTTGAAACAGGGCAGAGCCCAAAGAAGTCCCTAGAGTCTTTTTGATTTTAAAATCTACCCTCCACAATGTCCTTCTTACTGCCCACCCCTCCAACCCTACCTTCTGAGACCAATTTTGATCACTGCCAACATGATCAACTGGGTTGAGGGTATAGCAGTTTAACTGGGATGAACACAACCAGTTTAAACTTGGTTGGATTCCAACCAATGAAATGTTAATCCAAGGTAGGTTCAACTGGGATGCACTTCACCAAATTAAACTTGGTTGCATCTCACCCAATGAAATATGCAGTTTTTCCATAATCAAATGGAATTGTTGAGTGTGGATTTCTCCCATTTCCCACTCAATGAGTCCCCTGTTCTGCCAAGCTTGTTTTGAGTTTGGCAGATACGCAAAACAATGTTCTCCCGCTGCAGTTCCTCCAGTGATTGGGGGGACTGTCTAGCAAGTTCAAGACTGAAGCTGTATAGTCATCTCATGTACCATTTGAAAGAATTTGGAAAACTGAAGATGTTTTATTTCTTGTAAGTTAAAATAATCTTTTAATAAATACAAGTTTTTTGATATAAGAAATAAATATGAAAAGAAGATTTATTCTTTACCTGAAGGCAGAATAAATCTAGACTGAATGTGATAAGAGACTTTGAGATCAGAGTATAATATGATGGTAATAATAGCTTTTCTTTTAATTGAAAAAGAAAGACAAGAAAACAAAGAACTAGTTCGATGATTAGTTAGAATCAAAATTAATTCTTATTTCTTTTTATGAATAATAAAGGCAAACACCCGAGTAAGAACATTACTTGGTTGAATAGTATGATTGCCTTATTTTATGAATTGCTTTGCTTAGTTATTGCTGATAACGGAA